ATATTTTTCTCATGTAGGCAGAAGAATAAAACAGTTGAGAGTGCAGTTATCAGGTTGTGAGTCTACTTACCGTATTAAATTAAACAGAAAAAATGTTTTAGTGTTGGAGTTTTCACCAAAGAACATGGACCTCTAGTTTGGTGAGAAAATATTACTGAAGGTCATAAATATAGATAAAATTTCTTTTCCAATTTGGGAACAGGCCATTCTTTGTTCTTGATCTTGTTTGAACCTTCAGATTTGTCTTTTACTTTTGCCTCGCATGAAACCCCCCCATGTTGCTAAGAAAAGCTGCGAACTGACGCCAGTCATACTGATCATGTCAAAGACACTCAGAGCCTCAGAGCAGAAATATCTGAGCTGCGACAGATGTGCCCTTTGTGCAAACACGAAAAAATGTGCATGTATTTATGCATTAGCTCAGGATAATTTGTTTGTTTATACATAAATTAAAAGCCTTGAGAGTCTGTTCAATCAAATTTAAAACAATAATAACTTAAGTTTTATCAATTAAAATACAAAATACTAATGACTTCCTAGATTCATAACAATGATGTCGTACCAGCAAAAAACATTTTCTTTTGTTCTTCTGACATTAGTGAATGTATTAACCTAAATAGACAAATTATTATTCATTCTTCATTAAGGAAAAGCACCTCGTGCCACGGTGCAGCTCAAAGACCTGTTGAGGTTACGATTGATTCAGGTTCTGCTCTTACTTTTTCTTTCCCAATAGTTTTCACCATAAATAAATTGGGATGGACCACATGTTAGTCATCTTTTCTAAAGTTTTCCTTTTGTTTTAGGGCGGAAGAAAAAAAATAATATAAAAATCACTTTGATCAATGGGGTTTTCCTTTTCTAACACTCATTCCAAGAAGCTTGTGAATAAAACTAGTAGTTATCTTGTTGAGCTACCTGAACGTCATCCAGATATCTTAAATCTTATAGGATAAAACAATAAGGACAAAAGAAACTGAACTATTAAATAAACAGAAGAGCATCTTTCTTTTGCCATCCTTGTGTCTGTACAGCGCTTTGTTGCTCCTGAGTCACCTGATCCTTACACAGGAGCAGATGACATCCCTTTAAGGTAAAAAATATACAGAAAAATATAGCAGAGTAGCTCTGGGCTAAAATGAGGAATATCTTGATCACATATCTGATTTTCTGAAACACTCTTGGCATAATGCAAGCATTGGCATCTGTACTGAGAACAGTGTTACACTCTGTTATATCCTGCTGTATTGAGTAGAATAACAGAATAAAACACAAACAAAGGGGCATGTATAATGAATAAAGCAACATTTCTTTATATAGATTATAGATTACATTTACAACTTTTATTTTTAACTATGTGAGTTCAAGTGTGTATCTCTGAGTAGTTTTATTTGTTTTTTAGATCTGAAATCAAGCAGTCTTAAAAAGAAAAGTTACTATTACCAGTAGGATATTTTGTAAAAGAATGGATCAGAAAGATGTTCCAAAGATTTGTGACATTAAAAGTTTATAATATTGCTTTTTATGAGACCACAAAATATAAAAATATGCTTTGCAAGCTTTTTACTATTATGACAGAGTGTATGAAAACATCCAATCTGCTGCATTATGTCACAGTAGAGTAATATAATCACTTTGAAATTCAGTTATTGATAAAATCTTCTCCTGCAGTACATACAAAGAGTTTTAATGTCAGAGACAAACAGGAGATTCACTGACAGTTGCCTCAAAGTGAGCAAAGCCCTGTTTTTGAAAGTAGAGGTTCAAACTCATATTTCTGCTCCTAGTTTTAACCTAAAAAGCCCAGACATTTGAATGTATAATTTTTAAAACATTTTCCTCACAATGCAACAGGCACCCATGCATGGACACTATGTGAAAATAATTTTCTCATTACAAACGACTTTTCTTTCACATCTTAGATGATTAGATTAGATTAGATTCAACTTTATGGTCATTACACAGGTACAGGAACAAGGCAACGAACTGCGGTTTAGGTCTAACCAGAAGTGCAATAGCAGCAAGTGCAAGATAAATAATGGTTCCATAAATACATGACATGGGTTTCTATTGAATGAGTATAGAGATGGATACCATTATAAATAATGAATATAATATATAGATCACTAGTGTTATGAACTAAATTTACAGCTGGATATGTACTGAATATAATACAGGTATACAGGTGGATATACTGTAAAAAGGGTTTTTACAGTTATGTACAATAGCATATATACAGATGGGTTTTACTATAAAATGAATAAATAAAGTTTGGACAGAAGCTATCTTGCAGTAGAAATGCACATTTCTTTATCCAGCTGATCATTATATGTATAAATAAGCAGGTGAAATAAAAAACTGACTTGTATCTTAAACACACTTAAAGCAATTTCCATGAGAGTTCGATTATATTCCATTGTTGGACGTAAACATAAATCCATAACTCTAACTCGTAATTAATATGAAATGTAAAGATTTGCATTAAAAGAGTTTGTTCCATTAGAACACTAGTTTTTAATCTAAAAACTAGTGCTTAACTTCATTCTATAAATGTTTAAAGTAAACTGGAGTATTTTATCAATTATTTACATTCTCTTAGAAAAAAAGAATCATAATGCTTACATTTTTATATGCTTGAATTGGTTGTTTGCCTCACGGGTTTGTCTGTTAGATTTTAGACCCAGGTGATGCAATTTGCCTCCTTCGATTCCAGCTGTAAGGTGTCAAACCATAAGTCTTCCTGGAAGCAGAGATTAACCCCCCACCCCAACACATGTACTTCAAATGTCTGCCCTCATTCTGGAAGATTTTCTATCAAATCTCATCTCATCACTCATTCATAGTCCCATCTGGGTCAGCTTAAATTCCCTCATCCCTCATTCACAAATTGAGGGCTGCAATATTAATAGCCCTCGCAACAGTTTTGGTTTCTAATGGACTTTTTTGTAGTCACAGCATCTGAGCATGTCAGCCTTTACAAATCCAGAGAGCAGGAAGACTGAAAATACTAACAGTAACAATAATGATACTGCTTTTTATAGGGTATAAAAAATAAAAAAAAACTGTCCATCCTGATTGACAGACCAGCCAATTGGGAATCCTTCAGAACGTGATTCAGTCTAAGTCTGCTTAATAACAAAGAATGAAGCACATGCTTCTGACCTGATTTTGCAATTCATAAGAGAGCACAAAGAAAGAGTAATGGCTAATAATCTGGTCTGGCTTTACTTGGAGAGTAGGCCTGGACAATAACTTAATATCAATATATTCAATGACAGTGATATGACATTTGAACACATTTCCAGTATTGTGATACACGCTGCAGCCTGTGATTACAGCATTTGTTGCTGATTGACATTTTGGGCACAGACGATTCAAGGCGAACAGAAAGAGCCTCAGCACATTGGCTACCTGAGCGGTGACATCAACCATAGACAGGGAGCCTGTGCTTCACACGTGTGGCTCATGTTGAATGGTGAAACAGAGTAGATTCACTCTGCCCTGTGACTGCAGACAAAGGCTGCAGCTGCTGCATCAGAGTCCCTGTGCTTTGAGTTAGGAGTTAGTGACAACACATGGACAGGTCACTTTGAGTTTACGTCTTCAGTGAACAGTTAGTAAGCGAGCCTCCAAGTCTCCAACAAGACAAGAAAAAGTTGTTTGATTTGTCGTGAGTCGCTTTTTGGAAAAAAGTTGTTAGACGGGTCTGAAAAGGGGCAAACTATTACGACAAAGTTGCTGAGTTGGCAAGAATGCAGAAGTAAAATAAAAGGTTGGGGGAATTTTTACACCTGTAGAACAACATATTTATGACGTTTATAATGTGTTTAAAAGAAATTTGGGTAAATCTCTTTACACTGTGTTTAAATAAGAGAGCGCAAGCTCGTCACCACCAGAGCTTTCCTGTGGCATTAGGGATATGAAAATTCATTGTATTTTGACTGCACGGATCATTACATATGCTTTGATAACACTAACTCGAGTTAAGCAGGTAAATATCTTCAAATTAGAACACTATTTCTACAGTGGTTATGCAGTTTGACCAACAGTGTAATGACATAATTACATCGCAATTATATCAACTGACTTGACAAAAATAATATTCTTAAAAAAACTTAATAATTCTCTAAATTACTTAAATTATGCAGGATGAAAGTTGGTCAGGAATATTAGTCTTTTATTACATATTTTAACAAATCTTAATGCTGTCTTTCACATTGCCTCTTGTACTTTTAAATACACAGTGGGACAATAAAAGATATGTATTTTCTCTGAAACCCATAAATTCACTCTACGTGTCAATTATCCTCTATTTCCTTGTGCCATCCCAAGTCTCCATGTTATTGCAAATGAAATATCTTTACATTATTTAGATATTTGCAAAACATTTTGAGACATTCACACATATATAGAACTTATGCCTCCTTTTTTAAAGCAATCGCAATTGCAAGCTTCTCGCTTTTCCACCCTTAAGTTAAATTGCAAGAAATCATCAGACACCTGCAACTGTTCAATTCTCAAAGAATTCTTTTTTTTTATTTAATAAAACAAACATTGCTGTATTTCAACCAGAAATATATAAATATATACTGGATCTAAACATTCTTTCTCCAACATCATAATAAATGCTTTATTATCAATAACGGTGACTATAAAGAGGATTGTGTCTAAAGAAAGAGGGGCTTTAATGAAGTTCCTCTTAGCTTCAGTGCGTGTGTGAAACAGAATTGAGCTTCTTATGCATTTGTTGGAGCAGAGGGAAAAGCAGACAAAAGATGCATCCAGCTCCAGAGTATATTTATAGATACAGGCCTCCAAAGGCATTTTAAAGTTTAAACAAGTAATTTATTTGGAGTGTTTATTTTCTCTAACACTTCAAGGCCACTGTAAGCAAAACCCAGAGCACAGCAGGATGCAGAGATCCAAATGTCACGAATCAGAGAGGAGGCAGGTGAGAGAGAAAGAGATGGAAAAGAGTTATTGATCGTCCTGTGCCTTACCCGTATTGCCTCTGAGCCCATGTAGGAAGGACTTGGTGAACCCCAGCTGAAAGAGCTGCACAAGAAGACAAAGAGACAGACAGAGGGGACATGTTAGAGAACGGACGTCCACATGGAGAGCTGCTTTATTCCCTTCTGACTGTTTCTGTTTGTTTCTCAGATTTAAGCACGCTAATAATAATATCACAAACAGTTACAAACTCAACACTTACTGTCACACAAATTGAGTTACTCAATGTTCTCTTACAAACATCTGTGACCTTGTTGCCTCTAGACTTCATCAGGAATCAATTGAGGAAGTGTAAGAAAGGAGAAAGTTGTCCTCCTCCTCTGGGTCCCTCCTCTATAACTTGTTTTCTTCATTCCTCAAGTCATTCGTTGCTCTGTTAATCTTTGTTTCTTACAGTGCAAGTATGTCAGCATTTCTTCTTTTATTTAAACATATATTTAGGTGGGCATCTTCAGTCTTTAGGAGGACAAAGACGAGACAGACATGCTGTTATTTCTTCCCCTTAACAGTCCCATCCCCTCTTTCTCTAGGCATTGTCTGCCTCTATGAAACACAATAACAAAATACCAAGCGCTGCCATCTCCCTTCAGCCGAATACTCAGGGAGTTGTGTTGCAGTGCAGAGCTCCAGAATAAAGGCAACACAGTGAGTTGTTGTTGGCGCCACTGTTTGTCAATCACACCTACGCTTCACTGTTTTCCAGCAAATTTTTAAAGGAAAGAAGTTCTCAAGGTCAGACCTCAGAGGGAAAGCCTGCAGCATGTGTGGAGGTGGTTACCTCTGGGAAAACAAATGGCATCAAGAAGGCTGTTAGGCACACAAAGACTGAACGTTGGGTGTGGATGAGCTGAGCTATTTGGCTGAGTGATGAGCATACCTGTGGTTTACCATGTTTTATCCACTAAACCGGAAATATATATAGATTCAAATGGGTTTCCTATCATTTGCAAAGCTAAATGACAGAAAATCCATAAATAATATTTTAAGGAAACATAAAAAACAATCACAAAAAGTACTAAAACAATATGCATGGTGAAAAAATTACACATCACTTATGGTACACCACCCCTCTACTCAAGAAACAGTCGACACCACAGTGTGGGAACACTTTTCTTTAGCAGGCAAAGAAAAGCTGGTCAGATGTGACAGAAAAGGTGAAGTTAGCTAAACACAAGACAATACTGGAGGGGAAAAAAGTGTTTCAGGCTGCAAAAGACTTTAAGCTGAGTGGAGGTTCAGGTTTCAGCAGGACAACCCTAAACATACAGCAAGAACTGCAGTTGGAGGGTTTAGATAAAAGCTTAGTACTGTAGTAGAGTGACCTATTTTAATTTTAGAAATGAATCCAATAAGGAGTATGTGGTCAGACTTTTAAACCAACCTCCTCCATCTAATCTGACTGAAATTGGGATATTTTTAATAAAAGAAACTACCTATTATTTTAGTTTCTATAAAACAAAGCTGATAGAGACTTGCAGGAGTATTTGGAGCAGGTGGTGCTACTTTGTGCTGATTATTCTGCCACATTATATCCCAACAATAAAATACAAACATTATAGATTAGACCATAAGAACATTAAAAATACTTTTACTTTTCAACTTTATTTCTATAGTCTGGTTTACATAAACTGGACATATGGATAAGTTAAACTGCCACCACTATAGTCTAGAAGCAATAATAAAACGCATAGGACTGATGTTTCAAAGCACAGAAAAGCGGATGAAAAAAGGCACTGTTAGTGATATTTATGATGCAGAAACGGAACTTATTTTTCTACATTTCCAGTTAGATACCAGTTAGCTATTGAAACAATGCAATTTGTGTTAAGAATTTTAAGGAAAAGAGATTTTTTGTTCTCAAATAAATCCTATATATTATTTATAAAGGATTTATTTATTAAAATAAATCCTATATAAATGATATTGGAGCAGGAGAACATAGGAGATAAAACGAGGATTACAATTACTTTCCCTCTTGTCTCAGGTCTGTCCAATACCAATTCTACCCCTAGTTCCACCAATATATTGATATTTTCTTCCAAACCTTCTGAGTTATAATCTTACTTGTCTGTGAGTTGCGAGGCTTTGCACCAAGGTACGCCAAGTTCACGTTGGCCTTCCTGCCGTCAATGATGGGGTTTGGATCTTTGCATGCCCGTTCTGCTGCTGCCCTATCGACCATGGTCACCTGCAGACATATGGTTGATCAATATCAGTTTGGAAAACTCTTTAAAGAGACTCGCAGCCCTTATTATCACACCAGGATCAATACTAAATCATTAAACAAGGTACACTGACAACACAAACAGTCTCAAAATATAGTATTTTGCTTGCATCTCTTTGCAGGTATCTCCTCTGACATTTTTTTTTTTTTGCATTAATATACAAGACTATTATGGTATTTGAGATTTCCTTTCACCTCTAAATAAGATCTACAGACCCTGCACTTATTTATTCTCAAACCCAACTTTGGGAACCACTATCAGATAAAATTTATAAACAAACAGCAACATGAAGACCAAGGATCGCACCATAAAGCTCATAGGTAAAGTTGCAGAGGCGCTAAAGCATGAATGAGTAATAAAACCACAAAAAAACTACAACATGGTAAATGGCCTGTACTTATGGTATATAGCACCTATTTTCAAGTCAGGAGGCTTGACCAAAGCGCATTACACTAAATTCAGTCATTCACCCATTCATGTACACACTGATGGTGGCAAGCTACATTGTAGCCACAGCTGCCCTGGGGCTTACTGACAGAAGAGGGGCTGCCGTTCACTGGCGCCACCGGGCCCTCTGACCACCATCAGTAGACAATGCCCAAGGACACAATGACAATGAAAGTGGGAGCCAGGGCTTGAACCTTCAATCCTTAGATTTCAGGGCAAACTCCTGCATCCGACGCCATAACATTTACAGAGATTAAAAACTGCCCACTGGTCAATACGTTATCTGAAAATGGTGTAACTGCAAACCTACTAAGCCATGGCAGAGCAATCTATTAAAACTGACAGACTGGGAAAGAGTGTTTATGCAAAGAAAAATCTCCTACCACTTGGGTAGGAGAAACTATTTGTTGTCCACTCTACAAATTTTACTTTAAAAGAAGATTGAATAAAAACAGCCATTGATCCAAGGCAGGCTAAAAGCATGTTTAAAATTTGACTAAAACCAATTAAGGGACAGGGCAAATATACTCTACTCAGACGACACAAAAACTGTTGTTTCTTTTTAACTGTGAACACATCATCCCCAATGGTAAAGCATGGTGGTGTCAGCAACATGAATAGGGGAGCTCCTCTCAAGACAAGATTTGGAAGCAGGGCAGAGTTTAAAGAAAGATGGCTGAAGGTCTAGTCAAAGTCGAGAGCTAAGTCTAATTAATCTGTCAAGAAGATTTCAACAGTCATTAATACTCCTCCCAATATGACAGAGCTTGAGAAATGCCTCAAAATGAAGAGGGAGGCTTGTAGCTAGGGTTACCAACTCCTTAAAGCAACATTTATTGGCCAGGTATTGTCTTCCACCCTACCAGTATAATACATATCTTTTTGCCTATTCCTCTTTTTGTGAAATGATTTTATAATCCTTTCACTCTAACCTAAAGTGAATTAGACATATCTTTTTTTAATTAATGGGACAGTTCCTGTTTACAGGAGACAGTTAGTGACTAGTGTAGCTATTACTGTAACAAATGTGGCTCTACAACGCATCAAATCATGGGGCCACACCTTTAAGCTTGTTCTTTAGTAAAACAAAAAGTATCCAAAGTCCTCACTTAATTAATCTCTGTTGGGAAACCCACTGTAACACAGAGGTTGTGGTTTGAACAATGGTAAATGGTTTGTACGCACTGGACTTTATACTTTTGGAAAATCATTTAGACTTTTCTGTGTAACTCAGAGCAACTATCCTATCATATCAGAAGAGGAATCTGTGTTTTACGCTGGATCCGGTGAGGTCAGATCTGTGGGAAGCAGGAGGACCAGACACTAGGATCTATTTGGAGGTAGTGAGGTGAAGAGAGAAAAGATGGAAGCTGGGAAAACCCTACAAGGTTAACAAACACCCACAGAACAGAACAGCTGCAATTAATATACAAGGTAAACCACAGTTGCATCCTCTGTTACGTTTAAATGGAGCAGCGAAACTAAAAACATACACATATTGGTTTTGCAGACTCCCATGCAGGGTGCAGGGACTATTAATGGATGGACTTAGCAGCTCATAGATGGAGTGCAAAACTCACAAGTCCTGCTTATGTTTGCCTCTAAAAACCCCCATAAACACCCAAACCCATCCTAGCAGAGAGAGATGGCTGCAGGGGAGGAAGTCAGATTGAAACTACAGCAGCCTTATCTTGCTCAGCCAACTGACATGTCACACCTCTAAGACCCCCCTACCCAGAAGCTGGAGCTGTTTATTACAAAGCAACGTGTGACTTAGTGCGTGTGTTTGGTGCTGCACAGCTCATCTGGGAGGACAGAGATAATTAATGACATACTTTTAAGAAATAACCTGCTCCTCATGCCTCCAGCATGTGACAAGCTGCACATTGCTCTGCCTTAAACAGAGTACCAGTGTTTGCAGCTTCTGGGGCCCCAAGAGGATCAGATAAGGAATAAATTCTTCTAAAAGTCAAGCATATGGATCACTTTTTATTGTAATTAAAATGTGAAATCTCAACTCACAAAGCCATATCCTCTGGATTTCCCCGTCTGCTTGTCCGTGATCACCACCGCCTCATCGATGTCCCCGAAAGTCTCGAAATATTTCCGAAGTGAGGCGTCGCTGGTGTGGTAAGGCAGCCCGCCGACGAAGATCTTGGTGTAAGTTGCGTCCTTGTCCATGGTGGGGGGCATTATTTCTAAAGGAACCCCGAGCAGCTGACCCAGAGACAGCGGCGAAGTCATCAATCTGGGAGGGGGAAAGCAAAACTAAAGAGTCGGACGAAAGGAAAGAAAAACAACTTTACGCGCAGCGGTCAGAGGAAGCGCCTATAATAAAGGTTTTATCCGAGAGCGCGTCCATGCTTCAATACGTGAGGGGACAGGTGTCTCCAGGCCTCCCTTTCTAGAGACAACAAAGCATGCAAAGTCTTGACTCTCACAGGCGCTTTCCTTCTCTTTGCTGCTGGTCCAATAGACTCGCTGTGCGTCTGTCCCCATCTGAGCATCCCACCCTCAGCTCCACCCTGTCCCTGCTGCACGCGCACAAAGGAAACCCCCATTACAACATAACACCTGACTGTTACACACCTTTGGTGGAGAGATTTACAAAAAAAATAGGCTCCCTCTAATCAGGGGCGTCAGCTGACCCAATACTATACAGGGGCACAATAGGGCACCCCCAAAAAAGTTTTTTGGGCAATTGTTTATTTAAAAAAAAGCATGGTTACAGTTATTACGGAAGAAGATTAGGGCCAATGAAAAAATAAAATAAAAAGGTAACTGATTTTATTTCAGTATAATATGAGATAAAAGTCAGAATTCTGACTTCAGTCTCAGAATTATTATTATTTTTTTTAGAATTCTGACCTAAATATCAGAATTCTGACTGTTTACTCACAATTCTGACTGAATTCTTACAGCTAACAAACATGTTAGCATCAAGCCGTAGCCATGTCTGTTTTAGAGACTAAACTAGCTCTCTTTTTTAATTACACAAGAGGATTAGGGCCACTGAAAAAACTAAAAAAGTTAACTGATTTTTAAATTTGATTTCATTATAATATGAGAAAAAAAGTCAGAATTCTGGGTTAAATCTCAGAATTCTGAGATTTATTTTGTGGATACTCAGCTCCAGGTAAGGTGGCAGTATCATTTAAAAATGCTGTAACACCTCTTTAAATCTAAACTAATCCTTGAAACTGCCAGGGGTTTATTTTCCCATTAAGTTGTAAAGTACATGAGTCATGTTAAAGGGGAATGGTTTATCCTGGTGTCATGACTGACATCACAACAGGAAATCATTTAGCAGGAGTCCATCCATCTTCTCCCACTTGGTTCTGTCAGGCCGGTGCCTATTTCCAGCAGTCTATGTGCAAGAGGTGGGGTACACCCAACGGAAACACAGAGACACACAACCATGCACACGCATACTCAAATCTAAGGATAATTTAGAGAAGCCAATTTACCTAACAGTCATGTTTTTGGAGTGTGGGAGGAAGCCGGAGTACCCGGAGAGAACCCACACATGCACGAGGGGAACATGCAAACTCCATGCAGAAAAACCCAGAGCCAGCAGTCACACCAGAACGTTCTTGCTATAAGGCAACATTGCTACCCAATTTACCACCATGCAGCCCATTTAGCAGGATTGTTCAGTTTCTATCTGCTGCATGCAAATAATACTTGTTTAAATCGGTCCTTTACCAAAGGCAGTGTGTGTGAGGGTTGTGAATTGAATGTCAAAGTCTAGGCTAAACTATTATAAATTTAAATCGGATATTTTATATTTAAAAAACTGCAACAAGCTAAGCAGAATATTAAGCCCAAAGGTCCAATTTTTACAACCTCTGTCAGTTCTGCAGGTTTCAAGATGACATAAGGAGGGTTAGGATGTCCTCAGAGTGGCGTGACATTCTTCCATGGGGGGCATCAAGAGAATGCATAAAGCAGGGTGGGTCTCGCTTGTAGAGGGACTCCAACAGGAAGTTAGCAGGAGATGAAAGTAGGGCTGCAGACGACAATGTGGTAGACAATGATTCAACCCCTCCCTGACTTCTTTCACACTTTGAATCCCCTTCACATGTTGATAGCCCCTCGTCCTCTCACACCCCCGTTATTCCCAGCCGACATGACCTTTTGCTTTTAGTTTGTTGTTAATAAAAAAAAGAGTGGTTACTAAGGTTACAGGCTACTCCAGTGACACATAAAACTGCAGTGGAAGAAAATAACAACCAACACATTTTAATGTTTAAATATAAATTTGTATTTACATCAATATTAACATCAAGAAAGAAGGTAAGAAAAAAACCCGTCAGTATTTTACATCCTGTGATCATGAATGCATGTTTTCCAGACATTTTCCTTTAGCTCCTGCAATGTCAGAAGAGCAATGATGTTCCTTGTTTTTAATATTTCTGTTTCTCAAAGCGACAGGGGATGTTAGAAAACAGCTCCAGTTTATTGTTATGACATAAATATGACATCCACCATGAATAAAACCTCCCCTCTCCCTTAAAAGAACATTCTTGATAAGATGTAAGCACCACATATAAAACAACTGGCCTTAAGGTCCACAGTAAAAAAAAAACAAAAAAAAAACAATTTAAACCACCTAAACAGAACCAGACAACCTTGCTACTCTATTTCAGACAGAAGAGATAATTTAATATGGAATCCCACTTTTCCTCCTCCTACATTATAGGTTATGTGCAACATTAAAAAGCACAAAGTACTTGGACAATCTACTGAGCCGTCTTTATGCTCTGCAGGATGGCAGACCGAAATCTTTGGACTGAGCGTGTTTAAAGGTAGATTTTTCAACAAAGAACCTCCACAGGAAATACAGGACAGAGTCAAAAGCAAGACAAAACAAAGATGACCAATGGGTAAATATTATGATGTTCAGAGGCTTCAGTCAGTGAAGCAAAACGTTGCTTGTTCCATTCTGGCCCATAGATCTCAGCCACGTCTCTTTACCCTCTCTGTCTCTCAGCCCCATTGGATTACTGTGTAATGAAGGACACTAGTGTCCCCCTCTCCAAAAGATCCAATCTCTGTGGCTGAAACTAATTTAAAACTACAAGAAAGGGCAGAATGTCTGAAAGCATGACAAATGTTCAAAGCACTTTGGCTACAGGAGAGAAACAAACTGAAGCTAAAGGTCCAGCTCAGAACATATAGACTCCATCAACACACTGGTGAGAGGTCTGGTCCATAGAGGAACACAATTGTGTCAATTCATTGTCTGTATAGGCATATTTTTGTATTTTTCATTATTTAAAAAAAAGGAAAAAATAACTTATCTTAAAAAGCATAACAACCCACTAGCACCAGTATGCTCTGCACTACATTCTAAGAAAATAGGAAGAGGATCATGATTTAAGGATAAGAAATGAAAAAGTGCTTTCAGACAGCTGGAAAATAGCAGTATATCAGAGAAATATACATCATCTGCCTTCAAAAAACAGGTCTTTTGCAATCGATGTTTTGAAAGGAAAAGCTGACCTATGACAGTATAAGAAAATTACACATTTAAATATCAAGCCTTACAATCTGTGCAAAAACAGTGTATGAGCTAAAAAAGCATAAATATATTTATATATAGTACATTTGAAGCATATTTACAAATCGTATTTACAGACAAAAAGGATGTACAATGTTCCAAACAAGACATGGAGTTTAATACTGCAGTACCGCCTCTTTGGGTGCATGTCTCAGCTTTGTCCTCAGAGGGAAACCAGGAGTAAGGATCATTGCAGGCCAAAACAATCATCTAGCTCTTTATTTTGCAGTGTGAGTAGATCTAACTCATGTGAAGATAACTAGCTTTATTTTGCAGAAAAATCATTCATTGCAGCAGTGTGTGCAAACGGACAAGACAATTATAGACATGATCTGCTACAACTGGACTGAGTTTACCCCTTTGAGCTCTAATTGCATGTTTTTCTCTTTTCATCATTTTCACTTCTCCGCCCTTTCCTCTAAGCTTTACATCTGAATAGCAGTCAGAGAAACATCTGATTGGTACAATACAAAAGGTAAAAGGGGAAGAGGTATTTATAGATATAAACTAACCTACAGGAACTACAGTGTTTCTCATTTAAAAGATTGATTATAGCTTATAAGTAATCGCCTTAAGGTTCAAAGGAGAAAAGCTGTGGCTTACATTCTTTTAGTTTAACTACACTGCATTCCTAATTATATTAGTGATGATCATCCCCAGTTATATGTCCTGGAGTTTGCAAAAGAACCAAGCTGAAAAACTTTAATTTTTCTAATATTTACTGCAATTAGTTTAATAACCTCTGCTTTAAACAGAGCCTCAGTAGAAAATATGGGTTTCCTACTGCAGGCTCCTCATTAAGTCAATGCTTGCACTAAATGTCCAATCTATGGCCTTATTAGGATCACAATGAACAAATAGGTAATTTGTCAAATAAACATTAATTTGTTTGATCATTTAAAAAAACAACAACAACAAAATATGTCAATATTTGCGGATCATTTACAAAATACACAATAAAATAATTTAACGCTACATTGTATTATGATGAAAACCATGTGTCATTATTTTAGTGTGTATTTCATATTTCCTGGACTAATGTCTAAACTGTCCAGATCTCTCGGTCCATCACAGCAGTAGCCCTGTTGATTTACTCTGGTAAAGGTTGAATAAAAATATACATTTTAATATATAATGGACCCAAGTTTTCTTCCTATGATTAATTGACTTTGTTATTTGTGAATTACAGAGAACTACAAATCATTTTGGATTCATTTGTTTTCAGATTATTAAGATTCAAATTACCACATATTCAAATATATAGACAGCTTTTTTCTATTTAATTGTGGCACTTTTAAGAGTCAAAATTATACATTACTCTAATACGTGGGATAAGAGATCAGATTGTAGCCTCTGACTGGCTGATTAGTACTAAAAGCCAATCAAAATTTTTGGTATATATACACTACCGTTCAAAAGTTTGGGGTCACATTGAAATGTCCTTATTTTTAAAGGAAAAGCACTGTACTTTTCAATGAAGATAACTCAGTTGCGCAACGCGGCCTCCCACTTCTTTTTCTTCTCTGAAGAGAGTAGTACACACTGTTTAGGGAAATCTTCAATTTCTTAGCAATTTCTTGCATGGAATAGCCTTCATTTCTAAGAACAAGAATAGACTGTCGAGTTTCAGATGAAAGTTCTCTTTTTCTGGCCATTTTGAGCGTTTAATTGACCCCACAAATGTGATGCTCCAGAAACTCAATCTGCTCAAAGGAAGGTCAGTTTTGTAGCTTCTGTAACGAGCTAAACTAGTTTTCAAATGTGTGAACATGATTGAACACAGGTTTTCTAATCATCAATTAGCCTTCTGAGCCAATGAGCAAACACATTGTACCATTAGAACACTGGAGTCATAGTTGCTGGAAATGGGCCTCTATACACCTATGTAGAAATTGCACCAAAAACAAGACATTTGCAGCTAGAATAGTCATTTACTACATTAGCAATATATAGAGAGTATTTCTTTAAAGTTAAGACTAGTTTAAAGTTATCTTCATTGAAAAGTACTGTACTTTTCCTTCAAAAATAAGGGCATTTCAATGTGACCCCAAACTTTTGAACGGTAGTGTATATATAAACATATTTGTATATCTGGAGCATGTAACAAAAGTAATTTCCCTCTGGGATTATTTAAGTATGTCTGATTTTGATCTTTTGGTTCTAGCTGTTGAATGTTCTTCTAATGCTTCTTTTTTATTTTTGTTATAGAACATGCATGAAAAGTTTTAATTCTGAAGGACCTACATGCAAAGAGCAGAGACTGGGTCCACCTGTGGCTTGGCTGACATGGTTTCCACAAAAAGGTCTAAACTTGTGCAAGATAAACAGAAGATCTGATAAATTTAAAAGATTGCCGAAAAAATATGTTAACATTAGGGAACAACAAAAAAATAAATGCTTTTGGGAGCAGTTTTTCTCTGGTTCCCACTGAGGAAAAAAGCCTGACAAGTTTACCCAACTATAAATCTCATATCTCGAGAATTTAAAGAACACATGTATAGAAAAAAAACAAAACAGGAAATGTCTGCTGCTATTCAGTAATTCTTGAATAAAGGCCTCTAAATCTCCACCATCTATTTGATGTTGGCTTTTTCTTAAAGTGCAACGAGCCAACCAGTTAGTTCAGTCCTACTCAGTGGCATCCTGGATGACGAGCCAATGTGCTACTTCTAAATAACATTCATGTGAGCGTCACAGCCTGATGGCTTGTTAGCTGAAGCTGTGTTTGCAGGGATCCTCCAGGAGCAGCAGAACGACGGTGGATGTAAAGTTCAGAATCCACATTTTAAAGTCTGAATATAACTTCATGGTACATTCGACAAAAGAAGAGGCTGTTTAAATATCATTGTCCATGTGATGCAGCTTCACTGTTTGGTCCAATAAAAAAGGATATACAGAGGCAGGCTATGAAGAGAGGGAGGGACGTTGACTTCCCATCCGTCTTTCTGCACATGATGGAGAAACAGTTTGTCAGATTTTTAGGAAGGCTTTGTGTTTTCATTTGAAAGCGTGTCTTGTTTTCCCTCCGGCTGCCTGACTGACAATGCTGGCCATCGCTCTTGAGGGAAGTTCACTCCCCCGTCTGGTGGGAATGTGGCGCTACACGGAGGATCAGAGCATGCCTGGTTTGATTCCACACACACTGCAGCACAGCAGCTGTCTGCCAAATCTGGGCGGAGATCGCAAAGACAAAAGCCTCTGACGTGTCCATCAGCAGTACTTCTGGATCATCGGGAGGACAAAAAACAGAACATGAGCATTTAAAGTGACACAGACCACAACAGGATGCATCTCAAAACAGAAAAGAGATATTTATTAAGTTATGGATTCCTGTATCTGAAGAAAACATCTTTTAATCCATCTTAATAAAGTAATCTCTGTTAATAAAAAGTCAAGAGACATTTTAGACCAATAGGTTTACCATCACAATGAAGCTCTAATTAATTTCCAGCTTTTAATAGTTTGTTTAAACCCTTTTTTTCAAGGCTGATGGATTAGATAAGACAAATATCAGTATTTGATGAGAAGAAGGACGTTAGCATGTAAAGCTTTCTTAGAAATGGTGTCAATTGTAATACCTAAAAAGTTTCAAATTTACCTGAAATCAACAGTTAAAGACTGCTGATGATTAACAACTTGCAAATAAATCTTGCTGGGGTGTATTTATCTGGTTTGTATGAATCATTTTGTCACTGCAAACAAATGCAAATATATCCTTTATTGTCTCTACTATCTTTTTTTTTTTATCGATCAAGTCGTTTACTATAATGAAGAGAGTTCAAACAACTATAATGTTAACATTATTATGGTATTCAGGCCTGTAGCAACTACATATAGACATTTATGTAACCATATGTTAGGCTGTGGTTTCATTCTTAACTATAAAAAAGATTACATTTTGAAAAATAACACTATTCAATACTGGTTTTTGCAAGCTCAGGTTAAAAACGGTAGGCTTCCACAATGAAGTACTGTATTGTTTTTGTGACAACAGAAAATATCTGTGATTATGATCCAAAACGGATGGAATACATTTCTTTTCTGATGTTTAAAGATATTTAAACTAAATATTATTAAGATGCATTTATATCTAATGGTGGTTCTTAACATGAAGGAATGTTACTTTATTACTGGGCCTCCCACTCTCTGCACATACCTGATCAGGCCCCATAGGCATGCGCCCCATAACCATTGGGTTCATTCCCATCTGTCCACCCATCTGTCCCATGTGACCTCCTCCACTGGCCGGCATTGCACCGTTCATCATCATCCCTCCATACTGCCCTGGATTTCCCTGCTGCCCAAACTGCTGTTGACCCAGCGGTGCCTGTGGCCCAAACTGCTGCTGGGGGTAAGAGCTGGTGGCAAAAGAGTTGACTGGATTTCATTTCAAATCAGATAAGGAAAACAGACATAGAGGTGTAAGAAGTGATAATGTTATACCTATTGCGTGCCATGCCTCCCTGTGACCAGCCTTTCATATCAGAACCTGGGTATATAGGCCCACCCTGTGAGTGCTGTGACATCATTGGGTTTTGAGGCCCAAGACGGCCTGACATCATGGCATTAGGAGGACTTCCACCCGATGGGCCAAAAGAGGGTTCCCCTTGGTGACCCATGCCTGTTAAGAAAAATCTTAAACCTTCAGGTCTCACCTGCTTCACACTGACATGTTATTCAGAATCATCTACCATAAAATGAAAGTAAAAATTTGACTTTAAAAGGCAATCTGTCAGCAATTTGTTGCACAACTTCACCACAAGGGAGCAGCAGCATTCACTAAACTCACCGTAGCTCCCGCCATAGCCAAACGGCTGAGGGCCCGGCTGGCCCATGTTTGGCCCTCCCATTGGGCTGTCCATGCCCCCGGGGGCCGTGACGTTAGGAGGAGGACTGAATCCCCCAGCAGCTGCAGCAGCGGCAGCAGCCGCCTGCTGCTGTTGCTGCTGCATCAGCATCATCATGCGCTGCCTCCTCATGTGCATGTTGACCACATCTCGGTTACGCTGGACCATCATCTGAGCATTAATGAAGCTCTGCTGCACAAACCAGACATAGTGTGAATGTTTTACATGAATACACAAACAGGATGCAAATGCTTCCAACACAGCATCAGTCACCATAAGGAGGCATTTTCGTTTTTTCAGGGATCTTTTTTTTATCCCATAATTGGTAAAATTAAGCTCTAGTCAAAATTTCCAGATTGCAATCTGTATTTTACTATATTCTCAAACCAATGTTAATCAATCTACCTGTCCTCCCATGCCAGGTTGCATTCCAGGCCTCATGCCAGGGTTTCCTCCAGGATTCTCCATCTTCATCGCCATGCCCTGTCGTGTCTGATTCATGAACTTAACAAAAAGAAAATCAACATTGAAAATATAGGAAATCTTAAAATTACATTATATTACTTTCTGATAAACAGTAAATGCCTGAGAATAACAAGCAAATTTATTTTTTTGAATAAATGACAGAATGGATTAAAAAAGTGGAAACCAACTAAATACAAAATATAAAAACATAATGGACCATGTAAGGAGAATAAGTTTTCCATTTTTATGCTTTAGCATAATGGGAAAAAAAATATAAAAATCAAAATACTAAAATATGACATAAAGAAAGAAATGTCCAACTCTTTACAGAGATAAGCAGTAGAATAATCAATTGTGGGTTTTGATTCGGATAGATGGATGATGGGTGGATGGATGAAGATGCTGTTACTCTACTTTCTTTCGTCCATAGTAAGTCAGGAATGAAAAACACCTAAATTAAATTTCATCTTTTTCCGATGGTTTGAAAATTTAAAATCTAAATACTGATAACTGTGTATATTGTGCCTGACATCCTACCTGCTGTCCCTGCAGCCTCTGCTGAAGCTGCAGCCTCATGGGCTTGTTGGTATTTATCATCCTGGGTCGCATCATGTTTGCACGTGGATGGCTCATGCCGCCCATTCCCCCCATAGCAGGGAAGCTTCCACCTTGGCCCATTGGTGAGAGCATGGGCCCGAACCCGCCCTGCTGGCTCTGCCCCTGGATGGGATTCCCCCCATAGCTGCTCTGCATAGGCATGGCAGGGGGTCCAGGATAGCCGGGTCCATACAGAGGCTTTTGGTCAAGTAACATGGATGGGTCCTGTCCTGCAAAATGCTCCAGCTGCTGCTCTGCTCCCTGGCTCTGCAGCACACAGGACAAGGAGGACAAAGACAAGTTTGTCAAACCTGTCAGTTTAATTGATTCATCTCCGCCTGGTCGGCTCAGTAATTGCCTTTTTCTAAGCAGCACAGACGGACTCCTTAAGGCTCATCTATCTCCCTTCAGTGAGCGGACAGTCTGAACACAGTGAGTCATGACTGAGATATTGAATGCAAAAAATTAATGTGATGGTCTGTCGTGACTCACAGTATGACAAATAATCATTTCTGTCCTTTGAATCACATTTAGAAAGTGCTTCAAGCCCAAACAGCAGAGAGTGTGCTTTTTGACACATTACCTGGCTGACAAGGTCTGGGATACCGAGAGCTCGGTCTATCTCCTCCAGAGCGATGCCATCCGTGTTATTCAGCAGGGAATCCAGCTGGTCCAGAAGCGCCCTCTCATCGCTCTGACCCTCACTGGTGGTAGGAGGAACCAGAAGATCATCTAAGGGGTTGCCAAACTGGCGCCTACAACGATTGGTAAAAAATGGAAAAGATTAACATCATGGCTATTAAAAGGATGCGAATAAAAAGCATGATAAAGGTTCTGACCTGTTTCCCTCCATGTTCATCATGGGTTCAGGCCAGGATGGGGACTGGCTGGGCTGGCCTTGCTGGCTGAATGGGCTCATACCCATACCCATATCTGAGGAACCTCCTGAACCGTTAAAGGACATGAAAATAACGATAGTGAATAAGATCAGGACAGACAGATAATATTCTGCAATAAGATTCAAACTGCATTAGAGTAAATGGTAGCAGTTTTAAGATGCTAATCGAACATCAGAATTGTTTTTTTTTTTTTTTTTTTAGTAGGGAGGTGTTTCACACACAGAAGAGAAGATGATGCACAGTTCTCCATCTCTTGGGCCCAAAGATGTTTGAAACTACAAATGTTGCTCAGAACCTTTAAATCGGTGAAAGGCTGAAAGGGTGTAGGCTTTCCCAAACTTTATTTATAGTATTTATAACATAAATGATTTATAATAATAATAATTTAACTTTATTGATCTCACACTGGAGAAATTTACCTTTGCATTTCACCCATCCCCTTTGGGGAGCAGAGGGCTGCCATTATACGGCACCCTGGAAAGCAATGTGGGGTTAAGGGTCTTGCTCAGAGAGCCAGAGTGCAGGCTGTGGGTATTGAACAGGGTAATTGCAACCTATGATATTCAGTTAGGAACCTTGTGGCAGCCTTGACTCAAAGTCAAATTTTTGGTTAGCTCAAGTCTTTAAAACTTAAGAAATAATGCTAAATAACGTTGCATGGTGTCCTGTAGGGACCTGAATATTGGTACATCAGCATCTGCTACTGTAGCTCTCTGATCAGCTGTTTGAAATAAGCCTCCTAAGAACATTAACAGGTTAATCTAAATGCTTCTGCAAGGTTTGCATCATTTTTTAAGTTATATGTAATTTTCCTTTTATAAAAAAATGAGCCTTGCACCAAAGATAATAAATTAAAATTGTCAGACGCCATAGCTGATATGAACCGATGAACTGATGTGGTCTGGCAGAGAAGTCTAATGGCTAAAGGCTGCATTGGATACAACCATGCCAATAAAAGTAGAAAACAATAAGTAGCAAAAAAAAGAAAAAAAAAAAGAAATGGGAAACAAAAAAAAAGGATAAAAAAGGTGCCTTAGAATTTATTTGCCACTTAGTTTGCCCTCCCTACGTTCCTCCTTAGCCTGTGGAAATACTCCATGACAAAGACGAAATAGATGCTAGTAGTTTCAGCACCAATTCAGTCATAAACTGACTTGGATGTAGACTTTTTTCTCTACATGTGGAATAACTGATTCCCTGTTCATATTTTTTTCAAAGCTTAATTTATCATTTCAAAAACTCGTCTGGGTTACGTACCCATATCCATGAGCTGCTGCTGCAGCATGGACCTGCTGCCTGGCACGCTGTTGGAGCGGCTGACCATGGGTGCTGGCATCATGCTCTTTCCGCTGTTATAGTCCATGCCTGGACGCATCATGGACAGATGTCCTGCTGAACTCACAGGGCTGGTACTGGAGCGGGGCTTCCAGTCCCCAGACCCCCCCATGGGAGACCTCTGGGGACCTGTTCCTCTACTCAGTGGTCCTGGTAACACACATATGACAACGGTGACGGATAGGAATAACCAAACTGTTTCTGATTATGGTCCCTAAAATGTAGTTCTATCTCTCTGGTCAAATGAAAGAGTGAGGCGGTTCACTGAAAAGCAAGGTCTGAGGCCGGTACACGAGAGGCAAAGAAACAAGAAGAAGGAAATATTCTGAGAAAAGTTTATTACAGACCACCTGAACACACACCCAGGTTTCCTTGAAAGCCGTCTGGGCTGCCCATCATGTTCTCCTGCTTGATGAGCATTGGACGTCTAACTGCTCCTCCAGGCCCACCCAGTGGCTTTCCATCATTGGATATGGTCCTCTGGAAAGGCCCTCGTGGTCCTGGACCCATAGCTGGACTTCCTGCAGATGGACAACAAACCCCTTTTCAGAAAGCAGGCAAAATCATTACATGAAAACAAGAACCCCTTAGAGGAAGACTTATTACCCCTTAACTGTTCTGCATTTTGATATCTCATAAATCTAAGCCTCTTTGATTGGTATTTTACGACAAAGTACGAAAAAATAAACCATTATGGTGAAAAGGAAGGCAAGTACTAAACTGCTTTTGAACTAAAAAAAAAAAAAAAAAAAAAAAAAAAAACAAGATATCTATTTACCCCTTTATTATAACACCCACGTGTAAAACCGCATGCCTAAGTATAAATGCAGCTGCTCCATAGGAACCAATAGCATCAAACAGACCAAGGAGCACGCTATGCAGTTCAGGGATAAAGTTATAGAGACACTGATTGTTATAAAACAATAAATCAAGTTTGGAAACCTTGGGGAGCATTGTTACTATTTTTCTTGTGTTGTGGGGGGAAAACATCTAATATGCATAGCCCTGAACACAATGAACCAACAACATGGTGAGGGTGGCATCATGCTGTGGTATTACAAACATAATTGAATGCGATTTTACAGAAAACACTTTATACTTAATACACTTCACACTTAATACTACAGATTTCTATCACTAAAATTATTAGAAAAAATGTCCTTCGACTGCATGTTTCACTGTGTGATGATATCAAAATCCCAATGAAATACATATAGATTGTAATAAGGAAGAAGGAAAACTTTTAAAGGTATGAATATAGAAACACAGTGTAAATCAGTGATATATACTCATTATAAAAGCAAAGTAAACTGAGCAATAATGCAATTTTAACATTAAATATAGAAACAGCCGACAAAATTATCCTTTATCATTTATGTTCTATTGAAGCTTGACCACTTCTAAACCAGAGTAGAGTCCTGGTTTTCTTTGTTACATGATTTTTGTGTCTCCTCTGACTGCTCTATTTTTTTTTTTTTTTACCCCATGTTTAGTGGTATAAAAGGCACAATTGTGGAAGACATGACATTTGCTTTAGGAAAAAAAAAACAATGCAAACAGACAGCATCTGATGGTGCCAGATGCAGTTTCAGTGGCATTTTGTTTTGATATCATCACATGTGATGTTAGAACACCCGCCCTGCGCGAAGCTGTCACTTCTCATAGCCATTTAGTGCTTGAACCACTTACCCTGCAGGCCGTCATCAAGGCAACCCTGTGGTTTGTTTCCTGTGTTGTTCGCTCCTGCACCTCCGGTCTGATCAGGGTAAAAGTCAGAGCTCGAACCCCTGAGATCACCCAGAATAGACTCCAGGTTGTGTAACTACATGTTAGAAACAGCACAGTTGTCCTTAATTATAAGAATATCAATGAAGAGCAAAGATGAAACTAGTTTTATAATGAGAAATACAATCTTACATCGTCAGGAGGTTCTGGCTTGATCTTGCTTTCAGCATGTTCGGCTGCAGCAGCACCAGCAGCTCCAGTAAGACCCTTCCCCTCTAAATCTTCAAGTTTGGGCTTCACATCTACTTGTTCTTTGGAGTCATCCTTGTTGAGGAGGTAGTGGAGCAGGGCGTGTGTTCTCTCCTTCTTAGGGCTGTGCTGCTCCTGTTTGGGGTCTGTGATCAACGCAGGGCCTGGGACGGCCCCTGAGCCTCCTGCACCCCCCTCAGTGCCTTCTTGGCCTCCGAGCGTCACCTTTCCCGTCGCCTCAGCTGTGATCTTCGCAACTTCATCCGGTGTATTACCGTTCTGAAGAAGCTTGTGGAGGATCTTGTGTCTCTCATGCAGCGACCCCATGTAGTGAGCAGATGCAGATGTGCTGCCCTGACCAGCTGCGGGCGCTGAGCCGCCATTGGCTGAGGAAGAGGAGGACACCCCTGTGGATGAGGGGCTGGTCATCCCGCCGGTAGTTTCCTTGCTGTCTGAGCCTGTGAGAGTGCTGCTGCTGTTAGATGGAGGGGGTCCAGGGGGCTCCGTAGGTCCACTACCACTAATCCCCAGCTCCTCAGTTGGAGAGGTTAACAGCTGAAGCAACTTCTTGTGGCCCTTACTGTCTGGCAGCCTCCGAGGAGGGTCGGCACTCGCCATCTCCGCCTCATTGCTTGGTTCTCCACCCTCTTTAGTTCCTGCACCTGCCTGACTGTCTGGTCGCTCAGCAGAACTCTCAGCCTGGGGATGCTGATGGTGGTGGTGATCTGGGAGGTGATGGTCGCCAGGCCCCAAGCCCCCCGCTGGGCTTTTAGAACAATCTTGTCCTGGTTTTGTCTGATGACTGGGTTGGGAAGAAGAATGGATGCTGGGAGAGCTGTCTGGCTTGAGGGCTGGTGAGGGGGATGTCAGCGTGGAGGGGAGTGAGCTCCCTACTCCTTCACTAATCGCTTGTAGAGCATTAAGAGAGCTGCTGGAGAAGGTACAGGTGCTGCCCCCACCACTTCCTCCCCCTCCTCCTGCGCTGCCAAGGCCGCTCATAGGGGAGTGCATTCCTGGAACAGAGAGATGCTATTTAATGCATTGAAAACAAAAACAAAAAAGTTGCTACATAATTTAAATGTATGAGAACTTTGTTGATTTGAATACATACACACATGATCATTTATCATTTTACTGTTTTTTTTTTTATGAAAGTAGAGCTGCATGAGTTAAAGAATAGGTTTTATGCAGATAAACTGCTTTAAATTTAAGGTACAGTGGAGGACTTTCGCAAATTTTTGAAAAGACGTCCCTCTCCAAAATACACATTAACAAAGCTATTCCTGTTCCTGAGAGGGAACGCCTATTAAACGCATGCGAGAGCGTGCACAACCCCATTCCTCCTCATGCATGCTCTGTTTAAAAGTTGCTGTTTGCATCGCTCATACAAGCTTACTTTTTTTAAATTTTTCACCACTGGTAAGTGAAAATGGGGATGAGCATGTGGACGGCCATAAGTAAAGAAATCCCCAGACAATTAGAAGGACTACTTATTTTGATGATCCACCCGGAAATAGAACATCCTACACTATACCTTTAAGACAAAGGCTAATAATTATAGTCGTTATATGTTGCTTCTCTGAAATGTTTCAGTTTATCAAGCACCTCTTTATACCAGATTTCACCTTATTGAGCAAATTGCTTCACATTACTTAACACTGACAGAGCCTGTAAGACAAATAATATAAGTCCAACATTTAAACAATGTTTTAGTACTGCTGCTTAGGAACCAAGTGGTTTAAGTGGAAACTCAATGCTGGATGGCTCAATAAAACGCTTTGGATCAGCCTGGTCAAAATCAGGACTAAATCTGAATAAGATGCATTGGCATGACTTTAAACAGACATTTCATATAAATAATTAAAGAAGAGTAGGTTGAAATGTCAGAACACATTATTACATTCAGTAGGTGCTTAATTTTCTTCTATACTTCCTCATAAAACCTACTGTTTATATATGGTGGAAAAATACAGAAATATGACTCATTCATTAAAACAGGGGTGGGCAATTCCAGCACCTAAAGGCTGAAATCCTGCATCTTTTAGCTCTGGCTTTGGTTCAACACACCTGAATCAAATTATTAGATGATTGAGAGGACTCTGGAGGAACTGACTGCATACTGACCCTTAGCAAAATGTAGTTTATTCAAGTATACTAAAAGTGCAATAATTTCATACTTAAAATCAGGCAGTGCACTTAGAGTTTCCTTATTCTAAACTATATTTCATATACTTAACAGTAATAATGTCAGGTGTACTTGACTATACTATTGTTTACTTTATTGTTTACTAAAGTATACTTTAGTAAACTTAAAAATGTCCCAATTTAGTTCGAAGAAGTATTACTTTAGTAATACTTCAAGTACACTAAAAGTACATTGTTCGGTATACTTTCTAAACTTATACTTAAGTATTCTTAATAGAATTTACTTCAAGAATACTACTTTTTGCTAAGGGGAGAAGGTAACTCATTATTTGATTCAAGTGTGTTGGACTGAGGATGAATCTACAAGTTGCAGGATAGCTGCAGCTGCACCGGGAACTAGAATTGCTCACCCCTGCTTTAAAGCAATATTAAAATAATCTATAAAGGTAAATATGGTGAGACAAAAACCTCTCTCTACTTTGATGCATACACATTTCAGGATTTGGAAGATTCTGTCACTGTTATAATAAGGAAAATATTTGTCCCTTTTCAAACGAGAGAGAGCATTTTAAAAGTATTTAGGAAACCACACTGTGTTGCTTAGTGGAGAAGTTTCTAAAACAAATGAAAGAATAATGTTAAGAAGATTTAAACATCTATGTTCTAGAGAGTAATATCAGTCAAATACTATAAGTATAAATGTTTATGAATGTGGAGACAAAACATGAACTTCTGTCAGTTTTCCATTTCTGTTTCAAATATAGAGAAATTGAACTAACTGACCTCCTGGTGAGAACTGGCTGGACCCCATCTTTGGGCTTCCTCTGTTCCGGGGGGACATCAGCAGTCCCTGCTGGGGGCCGCCCATTCTTGGGCTCCCAGACGGGCTGTTCATTCCACTGAGGCCAAAGCCACCACTGCTCTGAAACGGGGGCTGCTGGGGATGTTGCTGCATGACCGGACCTGGGTGATTCATGGGACCTATCTGACTCATCTGGTTCATCTGATTCATCTGCATCATGCGGCTGCCCAGGCCCCCACCACCGCCTCCACCTCCGCCGTTTCCTCCGTATACAGAACCGCCTCCCATGTGACCCGTATGGCCCTGCTCGCTCATCCCAAAGCCCCGGTTCATGCTGCCCATTCCTCCCATACCACCACCTCCAGTCATCTGGGGGGTCATGTTGGCACCCCCGATGCCTTGTTGTCTCATGTTGTTTGACATCATGTTACCACCTGATGCTGAGCGGTAGCCGTTGTGTTCCCTATGTGGAAAGAGACAGAAAAACAGCAAAAGGTTTAAATAAATGCAAAAATCATGATAGCAGTTTGTATTCAAAACCTCTAGTGAGTTAAAGCTTTAAGGTGCAGAGCGAAAATTATACAAACCTAATCTTACCCTTTAGCGTTTTCAGTTTGTCACATTACCTGAAACTTTAATGTGTATTACTGGGATTGAATTATAGTTTTAAACACCAGCAGGGCAGACAAGAAAAGCCAAGAGGCCAATGCTAACGCTAGATGGTGTGCAGAGAACCAAAGCTCAAAGCAAGGCCACTTCGAGGTATAGCATTCATCAGATAAAAAAAATAAATAAAAAATTATTTGCAAGGAGGGAAAAGAGGGTATAGATGGTGAACAAAATTTCCAAAATAATGCAACGCTTAGAAAACTTAAAACTTTCCTAAAAATCTGTGTTGTAGGCATCTTGGTGTGGGATGCTTTCCTCAGCAGAGGGAGAGACTGTGGAACATGTTAATCCTTGAGTGGGAATTATGAACAATATATCCTTTGTGTATCACATTAAAAATCTAATACAACATTTAATTAATCTGATAATGTAAAGGCTAAGGCCATTTAAAGGCTAATTTGCTGACATTCCTGCTTTTATGTGGACCCAATGCCTTGGGTATATATATATACATATATATTCCGTCTTTTCTATATCTATATTTATATATATATCTATATATATAGATATAGATATATCTATATCTATATATATATCTATATCTATATATCTATATATCTATATCTCTATCTATATATCTATATATATATATATCTATATATATATATATCTATATATATATATATCTATATATATATACACTATATTGCCAAAAGTATTTGCTCACCCATTCAAATTATTGGAATCAGGTGTTCCAATCACTTCCATGGCCACAGGTGTATAAATTCAAGCACCTAGGCATGCAGACTGTTTTTACAAACATTTGTGAAAGAATGGGTCGCTCTCAGGAGCTCAGTGAATTCCAGCGTGGAACTGTGATAGGATGCCACCTGTGCAACAAATCCAGTCGTGAAATTTCCTCGCTCCTAAATATTCCACAGTCAACTGTCAGCTGTATTATAAGAAAATGGAAGTGTTTGGGAACGACAGCAACTCAGCCACGAAGTGGTAGGCCACGTAAACTGACGGAGCGGGGTCAGCGGATGCTGACGCGCATAGTGCGAAGAGGTCGCCAACTTTCTGCAGAGTCAATCACTACAGACCTCCAAACTTCATGTGGCCTTCAGATTAGCTCAAGAACAGTGCGCAGAGAGCTTCATGGAATGGGTTTCCATGGTCGAGCAGCTGCATCCAAGCCATACATCACCAAGTGCAATGCAAAGCGTCGGATGCGGTGGTGTAAAGCACGCCGCCACTGGACTCTAGAGCAGTGGAGACGCGTTCTCTGGAGTGACGAATCGCGCTTCTCCATCTGGCAATCTGATGGACGGGTCTGGGTTTGGCGGTTGCCAGGAGAACGGTACTTGTCTGACTGCATTGTGCCAAGTGTAAAGTCTGGTGGAGGGGGGATTATGGTGTGGGGTTGTTTTTCAGGAGCTGGGCTTGGCCCCTTAGTTCCAGTGAAAGGAACTCTGAATGCTTCAGCATACCAAGACATTTTGGACAATTCCATGCTCCCAACTTTGTGGGAACAGTTTGGAGCTGGCCCCTTCCTCTTCCAACATGACTGTGCACCAGTGCACAAAGCAAGGTCCATAAAGACATGGATGACAGAGTCTGGTGTGGATGAACTTGACTGGCCTGCACAGAGTCCTGACCTCAACCCGATAGAACACCTTTGGGATGAATTAGAGCGGAGACTGAGAGCCAGGCCTTCTCGTCCAACATCAGTGTGCGACCTCACAAATGCGCTTCTGGAAGAATGGTCAAAAATTCCCATAAACACACTCCTAAACCTTGTGGACAGCCTTCCCAGAAGAGTTGAAGCTGTTCTAGCTGCAAAGGGTGGACCGACGTCATATTGAACCCTATGGATTAGGAACGGGATGTCACTTAAGCTCATATGTGAGTCAAGGCAGGTGAGCAAATACTTTTGGCAATATAGTGTATATATATCTATATATATATATATATATATATATATATCTATATATATATATATATATATATATATATATATATATATATATATATATATACCCCAATAGTGCAAGTTCTCCCACTTAAAAAGATGAGAGAGGCCGGTAATTTTCACCATAGATATACCTCAACTATGAGAGACAAAATGAGAAAAAAAAATCCAGAAAAACACATTGTCTGATTTTTAAAGAATTTATTTGCAAAATATGGTGGAAAATAAGTATTTGGTCAATAACAAAAGTTCATCTCAATACTTTGTCATATACCCTTTGTTGGCAATGACAGAGATCAAACGTTTTCTTTGAGTCTTCACAAGGTTTTCACACACTGTTGCTGGTATTTTGGCCCATTCCTCCATGCAGATCTCCTCTAGGGCAGTGATGTTCTGGGGCTGTTGCTGGGCAACACGGACTTTCAACTCCCTCCAAAGATTTTCTATGGGGTTGAGATCTGGAGACTGGCTAGGCCACTCCAGGACCTTGAAATGCTTCTTACGAAGCCACTCCTTTGTTACCCGGGCGGTGTGTTTGGGATCATTGTCATGCTGAAAGACCCAGCCACGTTTTATCTTCAATGCCCTTGCTGATGGAAGGAGGTTTTCACTCAAAATTTGACGATACATGGCCCCATTCATTCTTTCCTTCACACGAATCAGTTGTCCTGGTCCCTTAGCAGAAAAACAGACCCAAAGCATGATGTTTCCACCCCCATGCTTCACTGTAGATATGGTGTTCTTTGGATGCAACTCAGCATTCTCTCTCCTCCAAACACAACGAGTAGAGTTTTTACCAAAAAGTTCTATTTTGGTTTCATCTGACCATATGATATTCTCCCAGTCATCGTCTGGATCATCCAAAGGCTCTCTAGCAAACTTGAGACGGGCCTTGACATGTACTGGCTTAAGCAGGGGGACACGTCTGGCACTGCAGGATTTGAGTCCCTGGCGGCGTAGTGTGTTACTGATGGTAGCCTTTGTTACTTTGGTCCCAGCTCTCTGCAGGTCATTCACTAGGTCCCCTCGTGTGGTTCTGGGATTTTTACTCACCGTTCTTGTGATCATTTTGACCCCACGGGGTGAGATCTTGCGTGGAGCCCCAGATCGAGGAAGATTATCAGTGGTCTTGTATGTTTTCCATTTTCTAATAATTGATCCCACAGTTGATTTCTTCACACCAAGCTGTTTACCTATTGCAGATTCAGACTTCCAAGCCTGGTGCAGGTCTATAATTTTGTTTCGGGTGTCCTTTGACAGCTCTCTAGTTTTGGCCATGGTGGAGTTTAGAGTGTGACTATTTGAGGTTGTGGACAGGTGTCTTTTATACTGATAACGGGTTCAAACAGGTGCCATTAATGAAGGTAACGAGTGGAGGACAGAGGAGCCTCTTACAGAAGAAGTTACAGGTCTGTGAGAGCCAGAAATCTTGCTTGTTTGTAACTGACCAAATACTTATTTTCCACCATATTTTGCAAATAAATTCTTTAAAAATCAGACAATGTGATTTTCTGGATTTTTTTTTCTCATTTTGTCTCTCATAGTTGAGGTATATTTATGATGAAAATTACCGGCCTCTCTCATCTTTTTGAGTGGGAGAACTTGCACTATTTGTGGCTGACTAAATACTTTTTTGCCCCACTGTATATATGAGTCTTCCTGTTTATTTCTGACCTCTGCAACAGGTGTGTGGAGATGAAGCCTTGAGGCTCGTTGCTCATGGGGTGTCGGTAGAGTTTGCTCTTTGTCTGGGCTGTAACCGGGGTGCCGTCAGACAGGGAAAAGCGGTACAGCGGTGTCTCAGCATGACCCTGGAGGAAAGCTGCAGAAAACATTGAAAAAACATGTTATCATAGTTTGAAAAACTTAATAAACCATACATAGAGGCTACCTGGTCACACTCATCAACATCACTGTTTAGTCTCAAGGTTGTTTCTTGGGGAAAAAAAACTTTAAACATTAAGATCAGAGGAAGCTAAGAGACAAGTGGAGCTGGGGTGCAAGAATGAGAGAGAAAACAAATATTTCAACAGACAACAGGAAGGCTACATGAAAAACAGTTTAGGCTTTAGCTTTTCTCTTGTAGACTAGGTTTGGTTTAAAAATGTACAAAAGGTACAGAGTGCAATAATTATTATCGTGAAGCCGTTGCCTGATCCACATTTCCTAGAAAAACCAGAAAATGAGTTTTAAAGGAAACGTGGTCAATACAGCATAATCATAAACCAAAAATGTGTTTGTGTGTTTTTTTTTGTTTATTGGACCTGATGGAAGGCAGTTTAATGACCCTAAAAAGTACCAACACCATTAATACTGGAACCTTTTTCATGCTATAATGTTGATATACACACTTTAGGGGGATGCATTTTATTTGGATCACAGTTAAGGAGCGACGTTAGGTTATGTTTGAGGTATAAACCCGGTGGATGGCTTGTGTTTCTTTTGAAAGCTTTGCATCAGGATACCTCTTAGGATATTACATGGATATCTTTTTCTTTTTTTTTATACTATAGACAGCTGAACAGAATTAAATTTTTAATAACACATGTATTTTTTAAAAATATTAATTTTTGTAAAATAAAAGCCAAAAACATTTTTTTTTTCTGTTAAAGGCTGATAAGAGTTTTAACTATAAAGATATTCTGGGTTCGATTTGGAAGAATTTCTCTGAACAATCGCTGACTCTACATGCCTCTATTGATAATGTAGCCCTAAGATATTCTCATTAACAATATTAATATTCATAATGCTTATGTATGAGTGGCGCCTTATTTCATTTTTTATGCGGTTGTTATCATTAAGAGTAAGCGAAACAACCAGCACAGATAAACAAACAACCAAAACAAAAATTCCAACTATAAACAAAGTTTTGTAAGATAAGGTATGTTTTACACACATTAGTTAGCAGGGTTAATGCAGTACTTGTGTATCTCTTTGCTTATTCTCTCAGTGTTCTGGACCTCATTAATAAAATATAAAGCACTCCTCCAGGTGCTCTTAGGCCTGAACCTACCCTCATGATAGTGGTGCTTGTGTGACCACGGTTGCCCGTCGCTGTGCTGAAGGAACATCTGAATGCAGCGCCTTAACAAGTCCTCCCAGCCTGGGCGCATGGATGCCCGCAGGGAGCTCTGGTCTATCTGTATCAGTTTACCTGTAGGAGGAGGAGACACATCAGACAGAAATTATGGGTAAAATCCAGTGGCTGAAGAGTATTATCGGGATCGATGATGGCCAGAGTTCACCTCCTCACCTGACAACTCATGTCGGGTGTTGAAACTTTCGGTCCTCTCCATGGCAGTTACCCGACGGGCTACACAGATCATACACGACTGGAGGTCTGAGGAGGACAGACATGGAGAGTTGCTGGAATTTTTAAAAACTATTTAATTTTTTTATTAAATCCGAGAATTGTTTTGATTATTATTATTTCAAAAGTTTCATTTATTGCCTTTAAAGATATTTGACAATTATATATAATTTCGGTATATAATAATTACTGCATAAAGTAAAGAACATCTATTGTTAAAGCTAAAAGTCTTTATTGGTGCCATACTATTTTCTACTGGAGAATAAAATACTAGCACCATTTTGTATTGTTGCGTACCATGAGACAGAGGCAATATACAAATTTTAGTATTAAGTTGTAATAATCTACTTTTATTTTCTGTCAAATAGGTGATCACCAATGATTCATAAGTTAGCTTTCATCGTGGCCTGTAGGCGCTAATAAAACTATATATCATGGACTGTATAACTTCTTTTTTCATATTTTGCCAAAACAATAAACCTTTTGAATTTAAACAGGATGTGATAAACCAATAAAATTGAGTGGAATAAAGATTTTTTTTCCCATTTTACGAATAAAAATCTGAAAAATGTACCAGAACATCAACAGCTTTTAGAGACTGAACTTTGGGCCATTTTTCTCAGTACAATAGCTTAAGCTCAGGTAGGATGGATATAAACGGTCTTTGAACAATCATTCTTTACATTGGATTCGGGTCTCATCTTTAACTGGGTCATCATCTGATACGTTTGTCCCAGGAATTGGTTGTATGTGTAGGTTGTTGTTTTGCTGAAACAAGAATCTTCAGTTTCCTGTTTTCTGCAGCCTGCAAACAGGGTTTCTTCCACCACTGTCCTGAATTAAGACACATTTACCAGTTACCTAATCTTAAAAATGCAACTTCTTCTAAATGTTGGATTTATCACCTACACGATTTATGTCAATCTAGAAAACTGAACCTTCCTGAAGGTCCTTTCCTTTTTTATAATAAAGTCAGAATTTTTGAGTGCATGACTAATAGTTATTGTTTAGAGGTGGTTAGTTGCACAGAATTACATTTTTTTGTGATCGGAGTAAAAGGAACTAAACATAACTTAAAGTTTTCTTTATAAATATATATATATATTTTTCTAAATAACAAATATCCCTTTCTTCTCTCTAAATATTTACACACTACTTTGTGCTGGTCTTGCCTCATAAGACACCTAAAGTTTGTGGCTGCACTGTAAACAACTGCATAAAGTTCAAGGGCTATATTTATGTGAGCAAGGCACTGCATAACCTGATTGGAGATTCAGACAGTGCCAGTCAAACTAAGTACAAAATCTAGCTATAATCTAGATCAGGGGTCACCAACGCGGTGCCCACGGGCACCAAGGGGCCCTCAAGGACCACATGGTGTGCCCTCTTCGTCTTCTGAAAACAGAAGAACTCACTCAGTGGGTTAAGTTAATTCTTTTTTTTATTCTGTTGAATAAAAGAATAAAATAAGAATAAAAATGAGTTTTTATGGATGAGATTTACTGTAGGTGAACACTGATCCCTCCAGTTCATAGGTCAGTATTGGTAGCCCTTCCTATGACTCGGTAGCCATGAAGTAGCCCTCAGCCTTAAAAAAGTTGGTGACCCCTGATCTAGATAAAAAGTATTTGACAAATATGACGGTGTTTTTAAAAGAGTAGATTATGCTGCACACATTTAATAGCACATTCATGGTTGTAAGGTCATCTTGAAAACCACGACCGCCTCCGCCTACCTTCGCCCTCTTCAATCATGGCCTTGGGCTGAGTGAGAGCAAAACACTGCATGGTCTCGTAGCGGGGCCCTCCTGCCCCTTCCTCCATGGGGCCGTGGGAGTGGCCAAATTTGACCAGCATCCGACAAGTGAAGGTGTGACTCTTCTGTCGAGCCGCCTCATTCCCCCATGACACGCCATTTACTATAAATTAAAAACAAACCAAGAGAAGAGTTTCATTTGGGAGAAAGCATGAAGCTTCTGGGACTGAAAACCATGCAAGCTGTGAACTGCCGATCTTTAATTAAACAGTACCAATGGCTCACACCCAACCTCACAGACAAAGCAAAACAAACAAACAGACAAGCATTGTGTCTCTAACACTGAGAAGCTAAAGCCTCTCCTACTGGCTAAATGGAGCATGGGATTAATGTAGCCAAGTCGTCGATTTCCAATATTTCTCCCTCTCAGTGACTCTGCAGTGGGCCAAGGCCGGGGACACTCAACCATCTATCCTCATTTAGGTCCTGACTACTCATCACAGCACACAACCGCGCACACACACAGATGCTTTTGGATGAGGTCACCTTCACAGAGAGAAGGAAAGGAGGAGGTAAACTTTCTAGAGAGCTGGCAAAATGTCTTTTGAGGTCTGTCTCAAGCCTTACCAGGAGCTTGAACTGGCAGAAGGTGTGTTTGTCAGACACAGATGATGGTTCAGGAGAGCAGGCAATTTTAGTGTAAGACAGAAAAGATGTCTTGTGTGGCAGTCACAAAACAGCAGCACTGTAGTCGTAAAATTACTCAAAACCAGACTTGATTACTCAATAGTGTGGCACACAAACACTTTAAATTGTATTCTTCCCCCAAAAGTACTCCAGGTCCTTTCTAAACAAGCATCCTGGCTAATAGATTTGCTCAGAATAACCTACATACACAGTTGCTTTTCCAGTGCCAAATTAGAAATCAAATTCAGTCCTGACAAATGCAAGAAAATCTTCTTGTATTCGTCTTTTATGGTAAAGAACAAACAGTGTGAATTAAACCATTATTTCTTGAAAAATAATAATTAATCACTGAGCTGTTAAAGATATGTAATGCTTTGGTTACTGCCAAGCCTGCAGAATTAATAAACTAAAAATAACCTCTCTGTTAAAAGACCCCAAAACCAAAACATCTGCTTTTACCTAAAGAACCTCAGAAACAGGTAAAAAGTGGTCACTCACACTTGTCAGTATGGGATGGCCTGAAAAAGCTATATCTAAGGCTTTGGGATTTCAGCAAACCACAGCCAAAGCTGCAATCAACACATGGAGAGAAGACTGAATAGTAGTGAAACTTCCTGTGGCCCAACCACTGGTGGTTGGGGGTTCTACATTCAACAATACAAAGAGACTGGGCAAAAATGGCATTAATGGGGGGAGTCTAAATCACACTTCTAGCAAAAGAAATGCCCATCTCACAGTTGCCAAAAAACACTTGAATGACGCAAGATTTTGGGGAAAAATGTTCTATGGACTGACTGAGCCATCAGTTCATAACTTTATGCCTAATCTAAGAAAGTCAAGATGAATTTAGAAAATTGTGTCATGACGTTAATAAGGCCCCTTATGATAAAAAAAAACCTTGAATGTGAGTGAATTAAAGCGATGAACCAAGTAGGCAAAAGGTCCTTAAAAGCATAGAGATCAGAAAAACAGGGAGGGAGTGCTTGGCTAACACAGTGTTTAGTGGAAGTGGGGAGCTGCTGACCCTGAGAGAGGACATTGTTGAATAATGGAGGGAATATTCTTAGGATCTCCTCAATGCTATTGACATGCCTGTCATGGCGGTAAAAGAGACTGGAATGCCCAGGCCCGGATTCATTCCTCACCTAGCCTGTAGTTCCTGAGGTGATCAAAAAAGGTTTCTGGATATTGACGGGCCATCATTGCTGACACACCTCTTCAACATCACGTTAAGGTTGGGGACAGTGCCCTGGACAGGCAGATTGGGCTGGTGGTTCCAACTATAGGGGAATCACACCATTAAGCCTTTCGAGGTAAGGCTTAGGCCAGGATGCTAGAGAGGAGAGTGTGGCTGATTGTCGGACCTTGGCTTCAGGAGGTGGTTTTCATCCTGTCCATGGAACAATGAACTAGCTCTACACCCTCTGCAGGTTAAGCTACCTCTCTGCAAGGTAGCTGAACAGTGCTGATGAGTTTGCCCAACTGTTCCATGTGTGTTTTGTGGACCTGGAGATTGCATTCTACCATGTCCCTCATGGTGCCATGTAAGGAGTGCCTGAAGTATACGGAGTCAGGGGCCAGTTAGTAGCCCCATTTGGTCTCTGTATAACTGAAGCAAGAATTTTGTCCACATTAGCTGCTTTAAGTCAGATCTGTTCCCACTGTATGTTAGATTCCAACAGGGCTGGCCCATATCCTGCTTATAACCTTAATGGACAGGTTTTCTATGCACAGCCAAGGAATTTAGGGGGTCTGGTTCATGCTCTAGCAGAATTCATCCTTGTCTTTTTGCACATAAGGAGGTTCCTGCTGGCTCCCTCTTGCCAAGGCATACATCAAGCACTGGTGTGGTTAACAGACAAGTGCGAAGCGGCCAGGATGAGAATCAGCTCCTCATAGTCCGAGGCAATGGTTCTCGACCAGAAAAAGGTGGCTTGTACTTTTCAGATTGGAGGAGAATTCCTGCCTCAAGTGGAGAAGTTCAGGTTTCTTTTGGTCCTGTTAACGAGCGAGGGGAGAATGTAACATCGGATCGAAAGATGGAACAGACAGATCTGTGCCACAATAATAGGTAATAATAGGCTTCATCAGTCTGTTGTGGAGTGGAGAGAACTAAGTGAAAAGGCAAAACTCATGATCTACAAGTTGGTCTGTGTCCCTACCCTCACCTATGGCTCTTAAATCTCCATCATGACCAAAAGTATGAGATCACTGATGCAAGCGACTGAAACAAGCCGTCTCTGCAGGGTGGCTGGGCTCTCCCTTATGAAATAGGGTGAGGAGCTTGGTCATCAAGAGTCCTCCACATCAAGAGGAGTCAGCTGAGTGCCTGGGAAATCTTTCCTGAACGCTTGCCTCAAGTGGCGTTCCAGGCATAGTCCACCAGGACATGATCCAGGACATGATAGAGGACCTCTGTCAGCTGGCCTGGGAGTGACTCGGGCTTTAACCAGCAGAGCTTGAGGAGGTGTCTGGGGAAAGGGAAGTATGGTGGTCTTTGCTGAGACTGCGGATCCCGCGACCGGGTTCTGGATAAAGCGGAACACTAGGAGTACGGGGAATCTGCACAAGTCATTAAAAACATTTGAAAGCAGTTGTTGCTAACAGAGTTAGGTTAATCGCCATCAGGGTGCTAATACTGGGCAAGGCTTCTCTTAATAAATCAAGTCATGATATAAAACCTGCATTGTCTAATTAAAAATAGTTTGTTGATATAAAAAATAATTGAACTTCACTGTATTGTGTGTGTGTGTGTGTGTGTGTGTGTGTGTATAAGCATAACTGTAAACACTGTGATCTGTGTTCATCCTACAAAAATGTGCACCAAGAAGGCATTTCATTCAGAGGGCCAATAAGATAATGAGGAAGAAAAGCAGAGACTGGGAGAGAGGGAGGTGGGGGAAGCAACCTGAGAAATGGATAGCCACAATATTCATCTTAGTAAGCAGCCATATTAAGTATGGATGAGGCTTAGAGGGAGCGAGCTGAGAGAGGCACCAGGGACAGCGAGAGGAAAAATGTATAAAGGGGGATGGTTAGAGGGAAAAAGTGAGGGAATGAATGACGGGGCGCACAGGGAAGTAAGCGGCTGAGTCGATGAGCCCACTGCTGCTCAAGAACGTTACTGCAGAGCTAATCGAGAAGCAGCCGAGCACACACACATCCATAATTAATCGGCATTATAAATAGTGCACATACTTATGGGCTTACACACTCATGCAGCTAACAGAAAGAAAAATGCATCACTGTCATTTACACGTCAATACAGAGAATGATGAGGGGGTGTAAATAAGTGAATTTACTCAAGTACAATATTAAATAGCAAATCAGACTGAAACCCAGGCTGAATTAAACAGAAGGGACCACAGAGGAGCGTTATTCAGCCGCATGTGGTAGCATTGGGATCTGAATAAAACTCAGGCCTGTTTTACACTGTCTGGACCACTGAGTTTGACAGACAGCAGCGCTACGCTCTACCTGATTAGCAAAAAGTGGGTGGGCGCATCCGTGTGATGTGTGTATGTTTTTGTCAGGTGTGTATATGAATGTGTGTGTGTGTGTGTGTGGATAACTCTCATGTTTCCCAGGAGCTCCTCATTAGGAATGAGTGCATAGGAGGATGGATTTTTACATACTCGGCTCACAAAGTTTGGCTCCTCTAAAAGCGTCATGTGGTTTTTAGTTCTGAGCAAGAATACAATGTAAAAAGTTAAGTTCTACAAACTAAGATCTGCAAAAAAGGAGCAGAACTTTATAAATCTATAACATCAATGTGATGTTATCAACTAAAAACAACCAAATCAAAGTCCACAAACACACACAAAACATATATCACAAACCAAAACAACCAACACACTACCCTCATTATCATTAGTAAAAAAGCTAATTAACCCTAAATTTACATCAATATAATTGGTGCACCTAATAAAAATAACTTATGCTTAAACATAGAATTATTCTTTAGTTCCCTTAAACTATTATAATACACCACAAACAGATATAGAAATAATTTGCTTATCATCCAAGATATTTTAGCTTTTATAAGTTTTAAATATGATTTTTTTAAATTTCCAGTCACATAGTTCCAGTTTCACACCCAGAAATCAAACTGTATGTACTTTTCTACATTCCTTTAACCCAAATACTATATTTCACTTTCTCCAAGCATGAAATTATTCATATGAAGCAGTTTTTGTAAATTATCTTTTTAGTGTAATATTTGCAATATAATCTCAGTGGAACTCAATTTAATGTTAGTTTGTGTCATGAAATTATTTTCATCCAAACACTCACCCCTGTGGTACACCACATGCACTGTCCAAACATTCAGAGCAAAACTAACCCTTATTTACATATCGTGCCTTTGTGTGTGTTTGCTCACTGTTAGTCCTTGGCAGGTTTTTATGAAAGTCCTCCCGGTCCTCTTCATGCAGGATGTTGTACACGCTGGTGTTGATAAGCTCCTCCTGCTTGTACTGCAGGTACTGGGTCACGTTGTCAGACACAAACACGATACTGCCCTCCCGGTTCACCACGAACAAGAAGCCATCCAGAGCCTACAGGGTAGAAATGGGAGAGCCATTATAATCATCATCAGGAGATGAAAGCGGGAATGTCTGAGCTGTGGAGAGTGTCCAATCTGGACTCACCTGCAGTAGAAGTGGCCCTAGCTGGTCCTTGTCAATGACCCCCTGACCAGTTGAGGACACGTCTGATTTCTGGACATCGTCATCGTTGGACGAAGCTTTCCCTGTAGATAAGCAAAACCAGGGAGGTCTTAAGGAAACAGATGAGAAATCCCAAACTTCAGTTGTTTACTACCCAGCTCCACCACTAGGGGGCAGTGCTTCCAAAGTTTCTTTTCTTTTTGGAGCAGCAAGGTGAGTGGGGGTTAAAACTACAGGTGAGGAGGGAGACGGATAACGGCAGGTTTCTGCAGGGAGTCCGTCAGAGAAGCATGTGGAGCAGGTAACTGCTGTCCTCATGCTTTATATTCAGTGTCAGACTGTGAGGGATTGTCTGAGAGAGGGAGTGGAAGCGAGCCAGAGGAGCTGAGGAAGAAGCCGTTATGGTGCAGGGGCAGGAGCTGAAGCACCTGAATTAATGGAGGAGCTGGGACCGAGGGGGGGGGGGGGGGGGGGGGGGGGGAGTCTGGGTGCATCCAGTGGGGATATGAGGATGAAAAAAAAACAAAAAAAGGTAGAAAGAAAGAAGTCCGGGGCGATGCTGGGAAAAACTAATAGCTACTGGGTTGTTGTGTAAATGTGGGATTTGGAGTGAGAGTGAAGCATAGGCTGCTTGACTACAGGAATTATTCTGTCTGATTAGCTCCCTAGAGGCACAGATACCCACACAAAGGGAAAAAAGGACATTACCACAAACAACTACGTATTGTGAAGTTCAGTAACAATGAGCAGAGGGAAACAGAACATGGAGACAAACGCTCTCAGCCAACCTGGTGCATTTAAACAGATAAGATATTATTTCAGTAAGAAAAGGCACCAGAGAGCAACTGATAGGAGTAAAAGAAAAATGAAGACTGAGCCTGATGAGCAGCTGGGACCATGTGAAGGAGAAACAAGCAGGTATCGAGCCAGAAGAAGAGCCTCGACGCCCGTGTCATTTCTGTCATCACTTCCTGTAACTATGGAAACCTGTCAGCAGCCAGTCAGGGCTGGCCGTAGCCTCTTCCCCTTCCTGTTGAGGTTGAAGATACTGACTGACTGCCTGAGCCCCAAACAGAAACGAGGAAGAAAACGCAGCCATACCCGTCTGTCTGATCTCCAGTAGTTCACCCCCATCACAAAGAAATATAACACGCTTTAATCTAAGAGCCGAAACACAAAATGTATTCACAATCCTTGAACTTTTGCACATTTTGAATAAACCTAATTACATAGTTAAATGTGAGAAAATGAGCACAAATAGAAAAAATGTTTTCGTAAACTCATAAAATGACAGTGTAGATTCAGTTGGTATTCAGCCCCCTTAAGTCATTGATATAGAGAAACTAATTAATTAATTAATTGACAGTCTTTTAGAAAATGTCTATTAAACAGCTAGAAAAAGAAAGTTTTGCAGGTGATAACTAATATATTGCCACCTGTTTTCTAAGGCTTTGTGGCAAACATTTTAAACCATCTAGCTCTGACTGCATGTTTAAGTTCGATGTCCTTCTGAAAGGTGAACTTTTCAAACAATTTCAAGCAGTTTAAGGTATCTCACAGATTTTCTTCTAGGATTCTCTTGTGTTCCCTTAATCCATCTACTGAGACCAACTCCATACAGGGGAAAAATTCAGAAAGCTCAGCTTGGTGTGTGTCTATGGTTGCCTGATAGTTTATTTAGCAGATTCTTCCACCTGAACAGTCGATCTCTGAATCTCCTGCAGAACGTCTTTGGCTGCTTCTCTAATTCATGCTCTTTTTGCACATCAGGTAAGGTGAGAAAGCTTAACATTTTGTAATAAAAACCTAATCACAGATGTCTTAAAGCAGTTCATTTATTAGGGGTATCGGAGTCAAAGGGGGGTTTGTTTGTATAATTTCCCTTCCATTTTACAATCATATTGGTCTACCACGTGAAATCCCAATTAATTACATGTTTGTAATGAAAAGGGGTCTGAATACTTCTGGTAGCACTGTCAAAAGTGGAGAAAACGGCTGCTCTAGAGATGATTATCTTTAGAATAGAGAGCCATATCTACCTGCAATAATCCAATCAGAAAGACCTTGGCGAGGCCTGCACACAGCTGTTAATAATCATACCTGCAAACACACTAATGCTACCCAAAACGGCAAAAGATGTGAAATTTGAGGGAGATGATGGGCCATTCATCTTTACAGCTGAGCTCAGAGGAGTGGGAGTTTGCCCTGTAGCCCTCAGCTGTCTCCCTAATGTCAGCCACCCATCACACATCCTCCTCCTAAGCCACCCTAATGACTTTAGACATGGGTGTCCACTCACCTTGCTCCTTGATCTGGCGGATCTGGCGCACCGTCTCTTTGAGGATGGCACATTTGTCCGGTTTGACGTTAAAGGTGTCAATGTCACTGAGGTTGGCCGAAATCAGCTCGGCCAGCTCCTCGATATATTTGCTCTCCTGCTCCCGGCGCTTCCTCTCACACCTGTTGAGGATAAGTTACAGAGGTTGGAGGAAAACTAAACCTTGCTACATTTTAGGTGCTCCTTCTAACTCTGGAAGCAATGGCAGGCTGTTTCCAATTTGGATAGAATGCAAAAGTCACTTTGACTGCATATTGAAACCTGTCCTGGTTAAAAAAAAAAAAAAGACTTTAAAGGTATAGTGGAGGATCTTCGGAATTTTTTTGAAAAGACCCGCCCTGTGCAAAAAAAGCCATACCAGCTTTCTTTCCAAAAGAAGATTTGCAATTTTTCCACTATGTCAGACTCACCACCCATAAGAGAAAATGGGAACAAGGATGTAGGAAGGCCTTATGTAAACATATCACCAGTAGGGGTGTAAATAATAATCGTTTTGTATCGATGCATAGATCCAACAGCCGGCTATCCGATGCATCGATACGTGTATCGATTCATGTGTTGTTTTTTTCCTCTGGTCCATTTTTATCCATTTGCTCCTGGGCGTAATTCTCTCTCCTTTGCTGCGGTGGCGCTAAACCTATTTTGCCCTACTAACTCGCTTCCTGGTTATACTCAAGCAGCAGTGTGTTGCAGTAAGCTTGACACAGACATTTTTGATTTATGCTCAATATTGAAGCGTGGTCTGAGCTATACGCTGTGGGTCTAGATTCGGCCGAGGCGGTGATAAAGTGGGGGCGAGTTTAGTCAGACAACGGAGGGACATGAGGGCCAAAAAGAGCGGAGATGCAGGTGGAAAAAAGATCCCAGCGTTCTCCCGCACCTCGCTCTTCTAGCTGGTCCAAATTCACAAGTTGTTTTCCGCAATTTCGGACATAAAAACAAAACAAGCCGGCCTCCTGTCTGCGGCACAGTCTGCAGTTAGTTACAATTTAGGAGAGGTGCAGCGGAGTGTCTGTGGAGGGGGCGGGGACGTCGACGCTCTGGAGCCGAGGTTTTGAATTGCACTCATTGCAGTGATTTTGTGCAGTATTTTTTGATGCACAGCCTTTCAGAATCCATAACGCAGGGGTATTATTATTTTTCAGTGAATGAGGTTCTAATAGGAATAGGTAGAGTGCAATTTTTCTACTTCTGTTATTTGTTGTTGTTTCTAAAAAAAAAAAAAAATGCATAACGATATTACAGCTTTCATTGATTTATTTGAAATTTGAAACATTGTCTAGACTATAAGGTGTTAAAAAAAAAGAAGAAAAAAGAAACAATTTATCGAATCGAATCGTATCGTGGTGTATTTTTGAGTATCGAAAATAATCGAATTGTTTTGTCAGGAAATCGATACTGAATCGAATCACCATGATGGGTGTGACTTACACCCCTAATCACCAGAATGATTGACAATTAGGAGGGCCACTTATTTTGATGATCCACCCGGAAAAAAACATCCTCCACTTTACCTTTAAGTTACAGATGGTTTAAGTTTAAATGTTGTTATTTCCATCTTTATAACAGTCACAAAAAGACAAGAGGTTTGGGCTTCCAGTCATTAGTAACCTTCTTCTCCTTTAGCAGTTTTATGTTTCTGTTCTCTTTTTGAGGTATTATGTGTCAAAGCTGATAAGGCAGTGTAAAAAGCAGGTCGGTATTACAAAAATAGGAAATGGAAATAAAAGGGCAACATTCAATCTAGGCTTCATGTAGTAAGACAAATTAAACACAAACAATGAAGAATTTATTTACACTGCATGATTTAAAACATTTCTAACAAATCAGAGAGAAAATGATGAAGCCAATAGCGAGGACTGTTCTTTCTAAAATAATTATTCTGGGAAACCTTTTGTCATAATACATTTGTCAGGTTTAGATGTCGCTTGGAAAACTCTTTCATGGCTCTTATACATGGATTAAAGCTTAACAATGAACAACAGGAAAAGCCCTTTAAAGTCGTAGGGAAACGTCCTTTCCAACCGTGGCATTTCCGAATTCTCCCGAGTGGTGTACAACTTTACACGAGTGAATAAGGTGAATGTGATTGGTCGATTATCAAGAGGTTGATGTGGCGGAAGGTTTGCAAACAAGATTGATTGTGGCTGGTGTCACAGAAGCATCTTACTAGCAACGACACTGTCAAGGAACACTATGGAGAGAGGAAAAATGCAAGACGAGTTTGAGTCAGAAATTGTTGGGACGAAGTTGTTGTGAAAGAGGACGCCAGGGTGGCAGAAGCTTTGTTTGGTGTAGAAGGCTTACAGCCGTACATGTTTGAGCCCTTGCCTCGCAATGCTGCCAGTTATGTTAGCTCTACGCCTGCTGAAGACACAGACGTCCATCCCCGTGAACACTGGGACGGAACTCAATGGTAAAGTAAATAATGATTATTATTTCTTATTTGCATATTTTAACTGCGACATATGAATCAAGTTGCTATAACCGAAAAAATTTGATTGACAGATAGCTGTTGATATATGATTGGCCGAATTTAGGTGTACAAGTTGACATATAACTAACTGGCCTGCATAAAAAAACAAAAAAAAAAACCAACAGATTTTAAGGCAAGATATTTAAAAAAACTTTAAAACAAAAGTTTAAAAATTTTGGGACAGTATCGTCTGATAAAGAGTACATTTATATACATGTTTAAGCCAGAATGATTTGACATTTAAATATGATTTCCCTAAGACTTTAAAGCCATGATATGTTTTGATATTCAGAGACCAAACCAGCTGCTTGAAATAACAGATTAGCTTAAAATGAATAGTACTCACATATATGGTTCAAAACAGCCTCTCAGTACTACTGTATGTACAACACAAAACCTTTTCTCTCCTCACAGTTGGACATTAAATCAAACATAAACTGTCCTGATTCAGGCCAATAAGAATTAATACTTAATTTGCTTAAAAGTAAACAGGATACATTTTAGGAAAGCTCAGATGAATAGGCTATACTTCTGAAAGGTTAAATAACATTGATTAAATGTAAGCAAACACTGAAATATTATAAGATGACACCTCAAAGATGAAGCTTCCCTCTAAAATCATGGACAAAACTAAAAGAAATCAGGAGAGAGATAAGGATAGGGCTTAACCAAACCAAAGCACTGCATAATTGCACCACATACAGTATATTTAATGCTCTGAACTTCCATATCACTGCTTTTAATTGCACCATGTTTTTTCTCCCACACTGAGTCTTTGTATACAAAATGACAATAAAAGTTGTCTTTGGGTTGAATTTACAGATGTTGAAGAGTTCATCTATTTAAACAATATACACAGTGGGATGTCCAGCTCTATTTGCTTCTGGAAGGAGACAAGTTCTGTGTTGTGGAGATCCTGTCTTTGCTCAAAATGAAAAGATCAACCCCTGCTGCTGTTTAAGGCAGCCAACACATTGTGATTGTCTGTAGTAGACCAGCCCTGTAATGACACGGGCTAAAAGGCCATTCAGAGAGGAAGAAACCATTAGTTAAAATCAACTAAGGAAGTCCCTCTTTTTTGCAGACCAGTCCAGTGGTCTGATCAAAATGTTTGGCCATGATGATGACTGTTACATCTAGAAAAAAAGGCAGGGGCCGGCATTTCAGAACCAACTGTGAGGTACTGGGTGGTGACGCCATGATGTGGACATGGTGTTTGGTAGGGGGACTGGTTCACTTAAAAAAAAATCAGATCCCAAGACCTCACATCACCACGAAGGTAAGAGTTGGTTACAAATCGGTCATGCAAATGGACATGATTTTCTGCGTTGCGTTCAAACTGATTACCAGTTCTCTCAGGAGGAATAGGCCAAGCTTAGAGTGATGTACTGTGAGCTGTGATTGAGATATATATATATATATATATATATTTATATATATGTAAACTACTGTTTTCTCACCCCTCGTGGGGTGGTATGTGTCATCCTCAAGCTCGGATCCTCTACCAGGGGCCTGGGAGTTTGAGGGTTCTGCGCAGTATCTTAGCTGTTCCTAGGACTGCGCTCTTCTGGACAGAGACCTCTGATGTTTTACCTGGAATCTGCTGTAGCCACTCTCCCAGTTTGGGGGTCGCAGCCCCCAGTGCTCCAATTACCACTGGCACCACTGCTGCTCTTACTTTCCACATCTTTTCTAGCTCCTCTTTCAGCCCTTGGTATTTCTCAAGCTTCTCGTGTTCTTTCTTCTTGATGTTGCTGTCGCTTGGGATTGCCACATCTATCACTACTGCCTTCTTCTGCTGTTTGTCGATCAACACGATGTCTGGTTGGTTAGCCATCACCTGTTTGTCAGTCTGGATCTTGAAGTCCCATAGGATCTTAGCTTGGTCATTCTCAACTACCTTAGGAGGTGTCTTCCATTTTGACCTTGGGACTTCCAGCCCATACTCATGGCAGATGTTCTTGTACACTATGACAGCTACCTGGTTGTGGCGTTCCATGTATGCACTTCCTGCCTGCATTTTACACCCTGCTGTTATGTGCTGTATTGTTTCAGGGGCATCTTTGCACAGTCTGCACCGGGGGTCCTGCCTGGTGTGGTAGACCCTGGCCTCTATTGAGCTTGTACTGAGTGCCTGTTCTTGTGCTGCCATGATTAGTGCCTCTGTGCTGTCCTTCAGTCCAGCCTTTTCCAGCCACTGGTAGGATTTTTTGATATCAGCCAGTTCTTCTATTTGTCTGTGGTATACGCCATGCAGCGGCTTGTCCCTCCATGATGGTTCTCCTTCCTCTTTCTTGTCCTCACTTTCGGTTTTCTCCTGCCTAAGGTATTCACCAAGCCATTTGTCTTTGGGGGCCATCTTCCTGATGTACTCCTGGGTCTTAGTTGTTTCATCCTGGACAGTGGTCTTGACACTCACTAGCCCTCGGCCTCCCTCGCTACGCTTGGTATACAGTCTCAGGGTGCTAGATTTGGGGTGGAACCCTCCATGCATTGTGAGGAGCTTTCTTGTCTTGATGTCAGTGGCCTCTATCTCCTCCTTTGGCCAGTTTATTATACCAGCGCGGTATCTGATGACTGGTATGGCATATGTGTTGATTGGATCTGTTGTTGGCTTGGATCTTGTTTTTCCCACTCAGCTGACTTTTCAGGACCTGCCTTACTCTTTGTAGGTATTTAGCTGTGGCAGTCTTTCTTGCCATCTCCTCGTGGTTTCCGTTAGCCTGTGGCACCCCAAGGTATTTGTAGCTGTCCTGCACATCTGTAATGTGGCCTTCTGGTAGTTCAACCCCCTCGGTTCTGATCATCTTCCCTCTCTTTGAGACCATGCGACCGCACTTGTCCAGTCCGAATGACATCCCAATGTCGTTGCTGTAGATCCTGGTAGTGTGGATCAGTGAGTCAATGTCTCGCTCACTCCTGGCATACAGCTTGATGTCATCCATGTAGAGGAGGTGACTGATGATTGTTCCGCTTCGGAATTGGTATCCGTAGCCAGTCTTTGTGATGATCTGGCTGAGGGGGTTCAGGCCTATGCAGAACAGCAGCGGGGATAGTGCATCACCCTGGTATATGCCGCACTTGATGGTGACTTGTGCTATTGGCTTTGCATTGGCTTCCAGACTTGTTTTCCACAGCTTCATTGAGTTCTTGATGAAGGCTATTAGAGTCCTGTTGATCTTGAAACATTTCCAAGCATTCCAGTAACCATGTATGTGGCATTGAGTCATAGGCTTTCTTATAGTCAATCCAGGCAGTGCACAGATTTGTCTGTCTGGTCTTACAGTCTCGAGTGACTGCTCTATCCACTAGTAGCTGGTGCTTGGCTCCTCTGGTGTTATATATATATATATATATCTATATATATATATATATATTTATGTTTGTATATCTGGAGCGTGTAACAAAAGTATTTCCCTCTTGGATTATTTAAGTATGCCTGAATCCAAGTCCGAGTTAAAGGCAACCTAATTGGCTCAATTCAAATTATAATGTTTAAAAGGCAAGTAGGCTTTGTGCATATTATTCAATATTTTAATATACTGGAAAAGAATCTCTGTTATTATCAGGATACAAATAATAATAAAAATAATAATAATAGAAATAATAATAATAATTCTGGTAATAAAAAAATAAAAAAGTGAGGTAAAATTGCTCTTTCTATATTGTGTGTATATTTATAATATATTGATGTGAAATAGCTAAAGGGAAATAAGTGTAAATAAATAACATACAATAATGGGAAGACCTTGTGTTTTAAAAACATCTCATTGTTCAGTATGAACAATGTCATCCTAACGCAGCATCATCCCCCTAATAAAGTCAAGGTCCAGGCTCCAGCAACCACTGACCCACAAGCCCACTTCCCTGCCTTTCCCTCTCTCGTGTTTTGATGTCATGCACTCACCCAAGACCAGGGGTGTCACAAGTGGACAGTTTGCGTTTGCGATTTTCCGAGCTCAGAGGCTCCATGGAGTTCTCCCCCAGTCCGCTCATCGTGTGCACATATCAGCACCTAAGGGGAAGAAGAAGAACCAGTGACACTCATTAAACCACCAAGCAAATACAAACTAGGATTATTAAGTCACTTCCAGCCTTTCTAGTTGATTTGATAAAGGTTCTGGTAATTGTGAAGGGAAGTAAAGCAGGGGCAGGACTGTAGCTGCAGCTACTGTACACAGGGAAGGGTGAAATATGCTTATATCAAATCATATTCTCCTGGCAGCAACTGATGAACATAAACATGTCTTGTCAGCATCCCCTCTTCCTGCTGCGGAGCTGAGAATGTGAGGTTATGTTTGTTGTGCGTGGACCCATGAGTTCATCAGTTCAATCCACACACACACCAGATTAGCAGTGTCTCTGATGATAAGCACAACTAAACCCGTCAGACAGGCGTCTCTCTCTCTTTCTCTCCCATAATGCCTCACACTTCGTCTCCAGGAAGTGAGATGATAAAGGTTGTAAGGAAGAGATGCAGATGGGATGAAAAAAAAGGAGGAAGAGAAGGGAAATAGAGGGAAGGAGTGGAAGACATAAGCGAGGGAGGGAGAAGCCAGTGTGAGAAAGTGAGTGCTGATTGGTCACTTGCTTTGCCACAGTGACAGCAGCCGACACTGGGGAAAGGTAGGAGGGAGGAAAGTGCATGAGCAAGAGTGGGGCAGAACGTAGCGAGAGGAAAAACCAGTGGAGGGATAATCGGAAGGAAAAAATAAGGTGCAGGACAGAGGGAGATAAAGGCATGCCAAAGAAATAAAGGAGGGACCAGGAGCAGGTGAAATAAGGGGGTGGGGGGGGTTGTATCATCCAGACTGGGGTGTGTTTTAGATGCACCATGTTGTGCGGGGCAGGCTGAACGCATCAATGCCCCTCTTAACCTTCACAGCCAAAACAGCTTTTTCATTCCATTGATTACATGGTTATCCTCTGACCAGAGCGCTGCCTGCGCTGCATGGCAAATCAGGCCAGCAACAGGGGAGAAATGCCAGCCTGTTATTTAATCGTCACGCTGCATCATCTCAGACTCCTCCGTGGGAGATCCGAGGAGTCCACAAAGCCATGTGACTGAGTTTGTCTTTGTTAGCAGCAAGGTCCTAAAAACACTATTCTTGTTGAGACAGGCACACAGGGTGCTGGCATGCATTCCTGTATGTTGTAGAATAAAACAACAACAAAAAACAACAACTCTAAAGGCATTCTCTTGCACGATGACAAAAAGAAATACCTGTACATCATCTACTCTCAAAACTGTTGCCCAATCCCCTCCTCTATGAGTTTCTGTTAGATTTCTGCTTTAATCTCTCCCTGGAGTCCCTCCCATCAGACTGTCTGCCTGCCTTTGTCTGCCTACCTGCATCGCCTCTGCTTTACCCCCTCGTTTACTTCCATGCATGCCTGTCTACCTGCCTCCCAAGCTGCTGTTCCTTATTAGACAAAACCATCGCTTGGGGAAGACGACAAGCAAAGGGAGGAGGTGCAAAGACGAAGGATTTAGAACTTGTGGTGCTAAAGTAAAAACCCTGCCTTTGCTCTTACACCGATCAAGCAAGCCTGCCGCCTGCCTATTGATGGAGTTCTCAAAGGGGGAGCCGCTCTAATTGCAGAGTGAATGAGGCCGCCCTAGAGAAGGGTTGATTAGGAGGCTGCTGAATGCCCCAGGGAAATGGGTCACCTCCAGCCTGGCGCGGGCCGCCCGCTTTTTCCAGCACAGGGAGAAAGTCAATTACACGCTACAGGCATTGGGGCCTGGTGGCAGAGGGTGCAGCAGGGGCTGTGCTTGGTACAATGCAGCAGGGGGGGGATTGAGATGTGGACAGAGGAGAAACAGAGAGTGATGGCAGAATTGAGGGCAGCAAGAGGAAAACAGGAATGGGAATGAAGATGGTATTTTAAAAATTGAGGGGGCAGATAGAGTGGAAAGGAAGCCAGTCAGTTTGATCGACTGAACTAGTTTTACTGCAGGTTTTAGACTAGGTTTGGCTCAAATAGGAAATTGTCTCTGTCCATCAAATAAAATCTCTAAGGTTGCGGTTTTAATATGACCAAACTTGGATCGTCTATGGAGGCATGAATTACATGCAAGTTAATAAAAACAGCTTATCATTTGAATCAGCCATTAGGTAAAAAATCCAACAATGCATAGAAAACTAAAATCCAATGGCTGATTTTACTCCCTTCCACATATCTGGGACCATGTTGGTACAAGTTTACTGGAAAAGTTAAGGAAAGTTTACTGTTTTCCCCAGATGGCTGGATGACTTCAGAACATCCCCATCCATGTCCTCAGGAAAATTCCAGTATCGGCATGGAAATTCTGTGTCACAAAAAATCCAAACAGGTCCCTTTTTGGGTGTCGTGTTGCTTTCTGATGAGTCTAAACAAACCAATGCATAAACTGGCACTGTATGAGCACATTCCTTCTCATAATCCTTCTGTTTTCAGATTATGCATATCTTTCTCTTGAGAGTAAGTAAAAAGACTTAGAAGCACACTCAGCAGGACATTAGAGGTATAAACAAAGAAATAAAAGGGAACGCTTTCTCTGTGAGAATTAGTGCAATAAAAAAGGGAGACACAACAGCCGGTTGGATATTTAGGATGACCTCTAAAAGTTTGGAGGAGTAATTATTAATTATACTAAAATGGTGCAGAAAAAAAATACTATGCATTCATTAGCAATTTTAAAGTTAACAGACAAATAAAAAGTAATATTTTAAATGTTGAGGAAGACTGAAAAAGAGTCAATTGTGATTGCGGTGTTAAGGGTTAAGCATGCGACCCATGTGCAACGTGGCTGTCACAGGTTCAAGTCCCGCCATGGTGACCTTCTCCCTCCCTCTAATCCCATTTCTTGTCTTTCGAAAAATAAAATAATAAAGGCCACTTGAGTCTAAGGGGGAAAAAAGGGGTAAAATGTGTCAGATTTTTGGAGGTCTATTGCAGAGGTAAGGATCATAATTATAAATTGGCACGTCGCTGCACATTTTAGTTCTACATTTTGGCAAATTGGTAAACAAGAAAAACAGGAAAGGTCCCAGATGGATACAGAATGATGTACGGAAAAAGGAAAATAGGGTTTAATGGCCCTAAAACTTACTATGAACTTTGACCCAACTCTCAACTCTGATCTTGATGTAGGGCTAAATAATATGTCCCTCACATCTAATACAATATATTTCTTAATTTCTGATTATTGAAATAAATTATATTGGGATATATATTGATATAGAATTATTGTCCAGCCCTATTTTGAACTAAATGATTACATATGGTCACTTCCTCTACGGGGATCTGTGTGTTTATTCCTGGTTGTGCAATCAGGATGGTGACTTGGATCAACACTACACCCGCCATCATCTCGCCTAAACCTGAGCTGGAGTATAAAAGGATCCACATCCATGTATTTCATGTCTTTCTGATGAGAATGGCTTGATAAACAGCTCGTAATGCTTAGTTGTGTAAAAACCTTTTTATTTTCATCCTAAATAACCTTAACCAATATACTAAGTTTACTTTACACAAAAAAGAAGGGAAAATGTTTTTTAATTGGAGTATTTCTATTTGCAGTGTTTTTACTACACTGACATAAAGACACAGGTGACCAAAAAAAGACTGCAAGAGAGCTGCAAATACTTTTTTAAAGTCACTTTTGCTGTTATCACGATAAATACAACAAAATATTAAGTCATTTTGCTTCCCTAATTTTCAGCAGCTTTTTTTGTATGTCTAACCATCTGCATAATCAATTGTCCTAAAATAACCTTACCAGGTATCATCATATATATATATAAAATACAATATTAGTAAAATCACTGCTTATCATGAGTAGCAGTATAAACTAAGTTTGTTTTAGCCGTTTTTGTATGCAGGGGTGTTGACGATTTTAACAACAAAAGGAAATCTGCAAAACTTTATCGTTTTAACCAATAGCTTATTAAAACTTGGGGATTCTAATCCCCTAGTGTTGAATGTACATTTAATGGATGTAAAAAAAAAAAAAAAGAAAAACTATAGAGAATTTCTGAGTGTATTTTCTATTTTTAGGAATCTCAGTGTTGAGCTTTCTTGTGCAGTAAAAGGAAAACAACAAGCAGCAGATCACCTGTGAGTTCAACTGATGGACCTTAAGAAAGCAGAATCAAAATGGATGAACAGCAGCTACACAAGCAGAACTATGGTTTGGGGAGACAGTAAACACAGCTGAGAGACGACAGAACTCCCACAGCAGGGTGAGTCACGCTGCGCGTGTGTGTGTGTGTGTGGGGTGGGGGGGGGTTGCTTGAAACAATGCAACAAACAAGAATAAGGAACAGAGCTACTGAGGGCTGACCAGGGGAAAAAATGAGCAACCTTGATTCTCAGTCAACCTACTATGGAATCTATCTGATACAAAGGAAGGATTATAGCTGTCTGAACATCAATATTAACCTGGGAATCCCCCACCCAATGATGTAAAGCCTTTTTCATAGCCTAAAATTGGAAGCACATAAAAGATCTCAATGTTAACAAATAGAATTTTATTAAATAAAAAAAAAATCTAAATCAGTTTTTTTAGCAATTTTATTGCTTCACCTCTGACTGAAATGATTGACCTGTAATGCTAGGATGCATCAAACTGCTGAACTGCTTTCTTTCTATTATCTTTGATACCACTGATAAGTTAGAGAAGGCAACAGGTTTGAGCAGGCTGCTGCTGACAGAAAGCAGGAAGGTGAAGAGGTGAAGTGACAGGGAGAGGGAAAGGACTGCTCTGGATAAGTGATGCAAATAGCTGCCTTCCTCCTGCTCTATTATAATCACTGTTGGCAAAACAGAGTTGCTCAGTCCTGGTCTGGACATAAAAACTCAGGTCAGTGATGTATTGCAAGACGGAAAAAAAGAAAACACAGACTCCTACGGATAAAGATTAAAATACATTTTCGGACAAAGGTTTACATATCACTTGGCTTTTAATACAACAGAAATTTTTATTTTGGGTGATTATACATTAACCAATATCATTTCTTTATGAATTTAACAGTATTAAAGGTATAGTGGAGGATGTTTTTTTTTTCTGGGTGGATCATCAAAATAAGTGATCCTCCTAATTGTCAACCATTCTGGTGATATGTTTAAGTAAGTCCGTCCTATGTGCGTGTCCCCAGTTTCACTTACCAGTGGTGAGTCTGACATAGTGGAAAATTTGCAAATCCTCTTTTGGAAAGTTAGCCTGTATGAGCTATGGGAAGAGCAACTTTGAAACAGAGCGTGCACAAGAAGAAATAGGCTCTTGCACGCTCTCGCACTGGTTTAACAGGAGTTCCCTCTCAGAAACGGGTACAGGGTTGTGCATTTGCATCCTTTTTTTAAAGTGGAGAGGGCGGGTCTTTTAAAAACATTTAGGAAAATCCCCCACTGTTCCTTTAATATTCAGTTAATTTCACAAATAATTTATTGATCCCAAAGGGAATTTAAATGTTGAAGTAAGGTAAATGGATTTGCTCAACAAGTTGATGTATGTGTTGATAGCTGCAGAATGAAGCAGTACCATCTTCTGATTTGGTTGAGAACAAATGCATAGAAGCAAGAGGTTCCATGGCAGTGGTGGAAGATGAGACATTTGAGGTGGGAGAGTGAAGCTTTGATTCAAGGAGTGCTAGATGTCTGTCTTTGACTGTGGGCAGGAAAAATGAATGCTACGCTCGTTTCTGAGCTTTCCAGACTTTCATCTCTCTGATCCACCTTCTGCTTGAAGCCTGTGATCTTCTCCATCCCTGACCATACATCTCTGATGTTGTTCTACTGGAGCTTGCTTTCCGGCTTACTCCTTAATTTGGAAATTGGCCCGGTGACACAATGAACTTAAACTAAAGGCGTTGTGAGTAAATGATCGACTTTAGTACGTACCTAGAAGTCACAGAAGACTAGTCCTGAAACTTTCAGAAGACAGAAAAACATGCATCTTCAAGTGTACTGCTAAGGTTTCACAGCAAACAGAATAAACTTCTGATTTCAATAGTTTACCCTTTTTTTTTAATAAATTGAGCTGGTCATTTAAACAGGATATTTTCAAGCTGGATAAGAGAATGCGAAACTTTTCAAGTTTTATCACATTACGTTTATTTAGTTCAATGTACTATTTGGGGATCTAAATATAAAAGACCAATAGAAAGGAACACAAATGATAAACATGGGTTTAATATTGGTTTATAATATCAAATTATAATTCAATAACAGTATTTGCAGAGAGTCTAGTTAAAACTCAAATACTAAATACAATCCACCTGGTAATTTAAAGGTATAGTGGAGGATGTTCTTTTTCTGGGATCATCCAAATAAGTCCTTATTTTGAATCATTCTGGTGATATGTTTACGTAAGGCCGTCCTACGTGCGTGCCCACAGTTAGCTATCTTTTGTGTGAATGCGCACTTTCAGGCGTAAATGTATACGGTTTCAAGCAGTCTACGAAGTGTATGAGAAGAAGTGAAAGCCTAAGAAGAGAAAAACAAGATCAGAGCGTTTTTAGGAGATTCTTTCATGCGATGGTGTAGACTGAAATCACAGGTCGGGCTTCCCACTGATGCGTCGGTTATAAAGTTTCTATTTCACATGTTAAGTTTGGCATGCTAGTTGGAGAATTTCATATCACTACTAGCAAAACAATGAGAAATGGGCTTGTGCACGCTCTTGCGTTCCCTCTCGGGAGCAGGCACATGGTTGTGCATGAGCATCTTTTTTTCCTAAGTAGAGAGTTTTTTTTTTGTGTTTTTTTTTTTGCGGAAATCCTCCACAATACCGTTAAATGTCAGTATAAATCTGGCTGTTCCTGTGAAGGCCTGAATAATCTATTAGATAATATTAATGGATTAAAGTAGTTATAAAGACTACAGAATACAGTCAGGGACAGAATACAGATATTTAAAGCAGAGTTGCATAGGTTAGATAACAACATCCTAGATGTTGAACACCTCACACAGAATGATTCAATCAAAAGTTTGGGGAAATTACAACCATGAATAGACATTGTTGCCCATTTAAACACACAGTTCTGATAAGGGAAGCCTTAAGGGTCAACAAGAGACATATACATTAGGAAATATTGCCTTTGGGACAACAGAATATTCATTAGTTACGACATATTAGTTGAACAACCCTGGTCTTTATAGAAAAGCTGCCTCTACCCCTTTGATACTGCTTATTTCATTACATCACACTAAAACCATTGCAGCATGGTTTCATGCTATTTGTAGGGGTTATGGTCTTCGCTAGATAAGCTGAGGAAATTCTGAGACCTTCCACAGCTGAAAAACATATTTTCCACGATTTAGACACTTCCTAGATAAGTAACAATTGCTGTCACTGTGCAGATTCGCTGCTAAGAGAGACACTTCATCTCAACTTACTTATGAAATTGTCTAGAGAGCTGTTCTAAACGAAATTTCTTTTTGTTTACACTTGTGTATACAAAATGACAAAATACATCTGTCCAAGTCAGAATCTATTGCTCTAATGCTATGCATGTCATGCTATATTGGTATGTGTAGCAAAGTAACATTAGACATAATCCTAATTAGCATCCCAATTAGTGAAAAATGGTTGCAGGGGAATCCTGCTGTTGGACACTTATTCAACTGGAACCAGGAAGCAGACAGAGAATGTTGAACACTTGGAACTATGGGTTTGTTGTTATATCTTTGTTGTAGGGTCACCTACAAGAAAAGTGCTGCAATCAAAGTCCAGAAGTATAATTCAAATTCTGCAACAGGACTTGAAACCAGTTGTTCTTGATGCTCTGTGGCTTTTTTTTTTTTTTTTAAAGATGTGGAGGCAAAGATTGTCCATAGCAGCACAAAACTGCTAGACATATGATCCATAAAATTGGCAGCTGTAACTAAAGTAAAAATGTATTCTCCAAATTATTGTCTCAGATTGGCAGAACACATTACACATCTGCCCTCCCCCACTCTAACTTCAATGTCTCCAGGAACATTTGCGTGAGAACGCACATGAGCGAAAGAGAAAGTGTGGTTTGGTGAAGCCTGGGTACAGTTCTGTGTGTGTGTGTGTGTGTGTGTGTGTGTGTGTGTGTGTGTGTGTGTGTGTGTGTGTGTGTGTGTTTGTGTTGTTGTTGTCACCTGCAGACTGGGGGTGGGGTGGGGGAGATTAATGCTCTCCTACAGCCTCTGTGGCAGGTAGAGCACAAAGAATAATTTGATTTCTCCTTCTGTCTCCTTGTTGTCTTCCTCCTCCTTCCTCATTTTCTCGACTGTGGGAAAGTAGTCAACTCTCTTTGTCTCTTTTCTCATCCATCAATTTTTTGTAAGCATGAGCTATTTACCTTCTAAGATTCAAAACCTTAAAAATATATTTGCAAAATGAAAAAATAAAAACATCTCAATAAAACATCCGCCAGAGAAAATATGGAGTCTTCTCTGAATTTCAGTGCTCAGGTCAGGAGGATGCTGCAAGAATGTGGCAACAAGAAGAAACTGAGTCTGACAAGCGGCTCATCCTAAACCCAGCAGACCGTTACCATGCCAACCATACAGGATGTTAGCCCACCTTGTGATGGCGCCAAGATGACAGACGGTCAGATGCCCCCCTCCCCTCACTCTAGGGATGTTCTCCTATCTGGGTTGATCAATTGACTCTGGAGAAAAAAAAAACACATGCAGGAAAAGTTAAGCTCTTACGCTCACCAGTGTAACTTTATTAGGGGTATATTAGTAAAAAACCTGAGGAAACTTTGAAAATGAGGCTGTTTTAGCTTCTTAATGAGTAAGGAATCATGAGAAAGCCTCTGTTTACACTTTTGTCTTCATTATGGTTGCAGAGCTCTTGCACTGTGGCTCCTGGTAATTTGCATTGATGCCCTGACCACTCCCACTCACCAGGCAAAATGCTCAACCACACACATCTACACACCCACACCCACACATCTACACACACACACACATCTACACGTACAGTAAAAGCAGCCGAGACACGACTTTTACAGGAAGTGATATAGCCTAAACCTAAAAAAAGCCAGCTGCTCTGACTGCTTACATAGAGCACCACTGTATCTATTCATCTAAAATAAGTCCTACAGATTCAGAAATAGTGGATTAATAACTTCAAGAACTTACTGGCAAAGATCTGAAACACTTCAAAGACTCTGAGGAAGGGTAGAAAATAAAAACCACTGAGGATTAGAGTAAATTGCAACACTAATCTCAGTAGCACATAACTGGCCAATTTGTGCCCATTTAGATCCCGATAAGGACCAGAGTGTGTGTTTGTATTTCGGCTAGACCGAGTTGTTGCAATTGCTCAAGTGTTCTGTCTAAACAATCACAAGAGAGTATTCGGTAGCGATAAACAAATGTAACCATGAGAACACTAGGTGTTTCCATGACACCCTATTATCAGTAAAGCACATCAATCACTCATCAATATGTATGCATGTGTGTGCCGGTTCCTATGTCCTGACAGGGTCCAAACCACAAATGATGTTAACTTTAGGGTGCAAATTGCATTTCCTTCAGTTACTATGTGGTTTTTCAATTTTATTGAATTCAACACAATTCAAAAATACTTAATTGATTCCAAAAGGGAAATTTTATGTTTTTGTAATATTTTTGGAGTTTCTTCAGCAAGTTGGTATAGATGTTGATGGCTGTAGGCAGGAAAATTCTCCTGTAGTGCTTTGTCTTACAGCAGCATTTAAGGAAGCCTCTGACTGAAGAAGTTGTCCATAATTTTATTTTTTTTTTGTGTGCAGAATTTGATGTTTTAAAATCAACTCAAGAGGTAAGAGGGGGTTCCAAAGAAACCCATCTTTACTAGCTCGTTGAGCTTTTTTAAGTCAATTGGGCTGATGCAGCTGCTAAATCAAATGACAGCAGAAGAGATTTGTGCCACATGTGTTACTTGGTGCACCTTTGGTCAATAAATAAGTAGATTAGGCACACTGATTTCCTCCTTAACTGCTTTCATTTTAAAAGCAAGTGCATTTTTGGACATTTAAAGAGCCCTCAAGGAGAAACTAAAGCATGAGATCCTGATCTGGAATCAAGAGACGTACTTATACTGCATGCTGTTTTCAACAGAAAATGGAACTTAAACATGAAAAAAACAAAACACAATAATAAAAGGGGTAAAAAAGTGTGTTGAGAAGTACCTTATCTTAGAGTAGCATCATAATCATTAAAGCATAAGAATGTTTATAGAAAATAAAATAAGATAGTTTCTTGCAAAAAATAAAATGTAAGTTTCAACTTTCACCAGAGAGGCAACTCAGAAAACAAGTGGTGTCGCTAAGGAGAAGGTTTTATCAGAGAAGAACCATAACTATAATTGAAGAGAGCTTGTATAAAGAAGAATAAATCTGACTTCCATCTCTCTCCATGCAAGATTTTAGAAAAAAGACAAAGTGCTGTCCTTTCGGCAGAAGGACCCTGGATAAGGTATAAACAGCGGGAGTGCTAGTAATTGCTGCAGAGGTAGTTTTGTGAAAAATAACATTTGCTTAATGTGGCATTCTTTTTACCTCTGAATAAATTTACACACAATAAAAGCTGGATTTTGTACTGTAATACTGAACTAAAACATTCTTTTATTTTAAGTATTTTAGGGCTTTGTAATTATGATGATGAATGAGTTACAGAATACAGTGTTTCAGTAAAGAATCCCTGCAGACTAGTTTAAAATAGGCCTGATTGTGATTCTGTTCATTTCCAACCAAACCAGGTCCAGTTCCAGTGTGTGTTTGCATGGCTGATCTCATGCCTGGAGTGGCTGCAGCGTGTATATTTATGTGTGTGAGTATGTCAGCACGTGCCTGACCGCTGGCTGCACCCCTGATTGGGAGCAGATGGGGACTGTCGGGTGTGTGCATGTGTGTGTTAGGGGGCAGGAAGGGAAAAGAGGAGAGGAGGAGTGGGTGCTCTAGTTAAGGTGATGTATGGGACTCTAATACACCAACAAAGACCCCAATTCAAATGATGCGTCTCCTATTAATTATAGGGGTAGAGAAATGAAGACGACGAATCATTGTTTAAGTAGGGAGAATCTATAGTTCTTCTTTGAAAAAAAAAAGATTATCGTCTTCTGTGCGTTAAAAGGTTGTAATGTGGGGAGTGCACGAGCAGGCCCTTTAGTGCCTTTATTGCGTTTATTACAGTTCTTTGTGCTCACTTTGACACAGCCATGAAAGCCGGAGTGAATAAAATGATAGTTAACGGCATGTGGTGCTGCTCATACCAGCGTAAAGCCTTGAAAATAAAAGCGTTGTGAATGAGCTTAAGATTGTGAATCAATAGAGAAATGTTAGGCTTGCAGACGCCAAGGTCTTCTCACAGTCAGCTCTGGTATTAGACACCTCTCTCATCATCTCCCTGCACTCCAGAGTTGCTTGTCAGCCAGAAAGCTGAATAAAACCAGCAATAGCATTGTAAAGATTTTTACTGGATTGTCTTTTGCAAGCGTACTCAGCCAATATAATATAATCATCTTTTACTTGTTAAAAGCAGTTTTAAAGTGCAATTATCATATATTCTTGAGTCCAAGTTTGCCTCATGCTGCTTTTAAAGAAGCAGTTTACTTAACCTGTGTTGATTAGTAGAGACAAAAAGTTACTGCAGAAATCTTATAGAGTACTGTGAGATTTTGTATTCCTTGCACCACCTTAAGGAGAAACAGATAAATTGTTTTTTTTTTCTGTTTTTATTTTACACAGTCAAATAATTACACTAACAGAATTAGAACTCATGCAAACACATATAATAAGAAGCAGAAAATGTAAGATTGAACTCTTAATCAAGTATTGAATTCCTTACAGTAGTAAGGTAGCTTGCAGGGCTCTGAGATCTGATAATGATGCTGTAACCGCATACATGCCTTCGACTCTTAAGCTGACTCTAAAAGAAAACTAAAACACCTGCAGCCTTCTAATATACCCTCCTCCTCCTACCAAGCCATCTGGATAGCTGGGAAACTAATACCTGGATAGTAACTCATTTATAAACTAAAGGATTTAAAAAAGGAATTGAGTCCCAACTTGGGATGCATGATATCAGAAAAAGACAAATTTTGTTTAAAGTGACTTGCAAAAAATTATCTTTCTTTAAAACAACTTGGTTTTGTATTGCATTACAATCTGATCTGGCAATAATGTAGTGCAGTAGGAAATATAATAGTTTCCTAAAGACTCCTAAAACATTTCCTGTTGCATGAAACACAAAGTAGAACAAAATATGTTTCTGGAAGTAAAAAACCTTATTTTCAATAGCCAAGGAGTTCAACCATATATTTTTATTGTGTGATACTGCAATTGCGATATATTGGGGGTATGTTGTATGTTGTTACTGGATGCCTTCCTGAGCCTGAAAACATTTTTCACAAAAAAGCAGAAAGGGATCTTTTTCATTGGGGTTTTATTAAACAATCAATAAAAGCCATTTTTGACTGTTTGGAAGCTTTCTTTTATGAGATAAAATGTTGTTAAAAAGAAAAGAGGGCTTTCCTAACATGCTGTTGTGTTCAGTCTATAATCCAAAGTATCGTGCTTAAATTTAGATTTCTGATATTATTATTAGGACTTGTGAAGTCAAGTTCAGCCTTCAGATGTTACACAATCTGACGCCAGTAAAAGAGTAAAATGACTCTATTGGAGGATGTAGACAGATAATCTGGAAATGACTATACTGTATCAGATGGATTAGCAGCAGTAGTTGTTCGGCAACACATTTTGTCATTGGCAGACTGCATTCTTCGTAACAGAAAACTGCTTCCTAAGTCTGGCTAATGATCAGAAAATCCAGAGTACTGGATTAGCTGTGCATTGTTGCTAATTGCCCTTTTGGCTATAGAAAGATTATGGAAAAAGAAGGCTAAATTTAATTTTGTTACACCTATTACATATTTTTAAAAATATTTTTATTTTTTATTTGAGATTTTCCTATAGATCTTAAATTTGTGCCCTACGTTTAGCCCCACTCCTTAGGAAGCAGCGGGCTACACACATTAAGTGGCGCCAAAGCTGCATTCCAGAGTAAAAGGTTTCGCTTAGGACCACAAATAGTGTGATCAGAGATTCAAACCAGTGAACTTCGCAGGCTCCATTTTATTCCAGCATGCAAAGAAAAAACCTTCTCTGGAAACATCACACTACCACTCCCCGTAATTAATTGATTGATCATAAGTTATTCTTTACCAAGCAGTTTTATTTTTTATTTCAAGAACATAAAAGTAATAAGGATCAATTGGATGGTCAAATGTATTCATACTCATCGTCTTCGACTTTTTCAGGGCCACCTAAGAGAGATAGTCCATGTAGCGTGTCCTGGTCTGTCCCCTGGGTCTGCGGCAGGAAGGGACAGCTTTAGCTCCCTCCTCACCACATGCAGCATCAACATTTAAGCAGCTGCTGCACCGACCTGTCTCTCAATCTCCTGCTTAATTCTACCATCACTCGCTGATAGCACCCAAACATAGCTCAACTCCTCCACTTAAACCGAGAACTCTCTTGCCACCTGAAAGGGGGGAGGCCACCTTTTTACAGTCAAGAACTATGGGCTCAGACTCTGAGGGACTGACCTTCACACCGGATGGCATCTCAGCCACAAAAGCCCCATCCAGAAACCTGAGGCAAAACGGTAAATGATCTGT